TTAATTCTTGGAATCTCAGTTGGGCTCTTGTAAAAATAGGAGAAATGTTTATTGGCCATGTTTAATTATGAAGAAAAAAGTTGATTTTGTAATTCATTTTGTTACTTTGTGAGGTGCAGTTATCTTTTATTGTTGCTATTCTTGTTTGTATCTACAGAAATCTCCATTTTTTTTTTCAGTTGTCTGCTGCTGTTATAAATAACATCTGAAAAAGTGAGTGGGTGAGAGATTGTTTGTGTGGGAGAGAAGAGAAAACTAATTTTTGTTTTTAATAATGGAAATTGTAAACACAGGTAAAGAATCTTTTATGGATCAAAGTAAAAATCAGCCATTCAACTACAAAAATTGCTTGAAAAACCAATGTGTGTGTGTGTGTGTGTGTGTGTGTGTGTGTGTGTGTGTGTGTGTATATATATATATATATATATATATATATATATATATAACAAATCTTAACTCTTTTCTCTTTATAGATACAAAAGAGTTTATTGAGAATAAAAACATGTCTAATGAGGTTTGGACTAAAAGAAAATTACTGTTAAAAAGAATGTATATTAATATTGTTAGTGAGCATGAGTAATATTCTGAAACTCTTCTCCAAAATGCAATAACTTCTGTTGAAAACCTGAGATGTCACTCCCAACAGATTTTTAAAAATAATGTTATTAATATGCAAAACATTTCTCTCATTTAATGTTGGTAAATCAAATACAAAACTTAATTTAGAATGAAAACTTGCAACATTATGTAATTAATAGGAACAATTTTTTTTTTTTTTCTTTTTAATTTTTAAAATCTGAGAATTTTTCTTTTTTTCCATAAGCAAAATTTGTAAATTGACAACAGGATTCAAAGCTGCAAATATTTTTACATTTTTATTATTAAATAATTGTCTTATTTGAATTTCTCAGTTGTAAAGATCTACTGTGGGATTTTCCTGAGCAAAATTTACATTATTTGCCCCCATGTAGAAACCAAACTTGACCATCCAAAATTACTGAAGGGGAAATGTGTATACTAATAATGCTATTAGGTCAAATGTGTATACTACACATTTCAGATTTGTCATTTGTTAGTAATTAAAAAATATTTGGGGGGAAATTAAAAATGTTGTAAGGAGATTTTCACATGAACAAAAATTGGCTTTGAAAATCTTTCCTTTTTTTTTTTTTTTTAAATCAATTCTGCCCTAATTTACTCTTGCCCTTTCAGCCAAAGCAAAGTATTGGGTTTTCTTGGAAAAAATTATACTTAGTTAATATTATCTAATTATTTATCTTTATATTATTGTATATCCTTAGATAATATTAAATATTAGAGATCAAGTTGATCTCTCTTGTTGCTCATTATAACAAAATGGTGCATTGTCACATTTCTGCAAATCAATTTACTTAATTTCATCTGATTCAGTAATTATTGCTTCAATAACATTTTTTTATCTTTTGACATGTTTTTTTTTCTCTGTGAGTTGTTAACCAATATATTGCCAACAAACACTTAGTAACTTTGAATCCGTTGACAAATGCTTATTTTTATTTAACTAAGCTTAACTTAGTATGGCACATGGTCATAAGTATGAGAGTACCTATGAGGGTTGAACTCATTAAAATAGTAAAGATCTATGAGACTATTTTTACTTAATGACTTGTCATCAACCTTATTTTATTTGAATTGCTTTTGGTTGAATAATTTGCTCAAGTAATTGTCATAATTGTATGGTCAATCGCTCAGAAATAAAGCCAACAAGTTTAGGCAAAATGTTTTATAGATTTCAATAGGTACATATAGGCATGATTTAGATGACAAGCAAAAGAGATTAACAAACAGCATTGCAAAAAGGCAATTTAGTTTACAAAAAAAAACAAAAACATAATTGTTTTTCTATTTCTAACACATTTACTTAGCTTTTCACAAAACTATCACTTGACAAAAGAGAAAAAAAATTCTATGACTTTTAACAAAATGTTTTAATCTTTGGTTCTTTTTTTACAGTTTCTGATTTCATTTCTATAAAAAAATTATTAAACTGTAAATTATAAAATTGGACTGAAAAAATAACATTTTTTAGTATGCAAAAAGAAAATTTAAAAGGGGGATTTTTTTTTTTTTTTACCACATTTTGACCATTTTTATTTAAAAAAAAAAAAACAAAAAAAACCAGCTATCTGGGCCATATGTTTATTTTTTCCCTAATTTGGACAGTATTGAGTGTCTTATAGAAAACTCTATTGAAGTAGATTTATCATTAAGTTATTGTATCATGCTTATTATAAAACCCAGGTTGTGTGTGTGTGTGTGCGTGTGTGTGTCTGTACATTTATATATTGGATCGGATTTTCTATATTTTTCAACCGATTTCAACAAAACTTCACAGGACTATGTAAAATTACCTTGCGGTGGTTCCAACAGCGCTAAAAATTGGAAAAACACAATTGTTTTTGCATGAAATCAATTTGAAAACACGATTAAGAGGCATCGCAAGAATGAAAGGGGGACAACTCATATCAAGTTATACTTATTATAAAACCCAGGTTGTTTGTGTATGTGTTCCTTTATATATGGGATCGGATTTCCTACGTTTTTCAACCAATTTCAACAAAACTTCATTTTTTTTTTTTTTTTTTTTTTTTTTGGCAGGTAGTTTTCTTATTGTCTTGCACACTTTTTTCTTTATTTTTACATTCAGAATGCTTTAAAAATTCCATTTACAAGACAATTGTTTATAATAAAATGCTATTCAATCGGTAGACAATTGAAAACAATGTTTTTGTTTGAGTTTGGGTTTGACCAATTCGTAAAAAAAAAAATAACCAAAAATAAACTAATTAAGACATGCGTGTCCGTCAACCTTAAACAATAATCTTTGTCAATTTTATTTTTCAGTCTTTATGATGGTCGATACTTGATCTATCTCTTACTGTTACATCTCCGGGCAACACCGGGCTCTACTGCTAGTGTGTGTATATATATATATATATATATATATATATATATATATATTTTCTATTTCTAGGATAATAATTTCTTTTTTAATTTTAAAAATAAGCCATTTGTGTGAAATCAGATAAATGAAACTTGCCAATTGTTTAGCAATTCGCATTTGGTGCAAATCTGAAAAACTTCTTTTTGCATTAGAATTTCAATTAATGTTTATTTCCCAGCCTGTAAAAAGTGTTAAATGCTAATTTTTGCCAATGTCTTGTTTGACAGCAAGTTTGTTGAAGTGTTACATTGAGAGATCATAAAAAAAAATACTTTGTTACTGCTGTCTTCTAACTGAACATTTGTTGAATTTTCCTTTTAGATTTTCCATAAAAACAGGATTAAGGTTTTTGAGGGAGGGTGTGGAATTTTGGTTAGAAATTCTGAAGTCAACTTTTTATAGATATCTCAGGCAAAATCTTATTTTTAAGTAAAATACATTTATGGTCAAGGAATACAATTCTTACATTCTTCAGTTTCTACTTTGATTTTTAGACAATATTTGAATGATTTTATAAATGTCTTACTTTTTAGAATTTTCTGTTATGTTCTTCAGCAAAATCCTAATAAATTTATAATAACTGCCTGAAGTAAGATTTCTTTTTAAGAGATTTTATATAAACAATGAAAAAATTGCTGTGCTGGATAACCTCCATTTGAAATTTTCATGATGTAAGACGAAATATAAGCAGAGATTAATGTTACTGTTATGGAACTAGGGTGGCAACAAGTCAAACTATAACATTACAAATTTTATGCTTGTGCCAATATGAATATTGGTGAGCAAAGATAAAAACCAAGAGAAAGTAGACAGAAAATATTTGCAAAAATCTATGGTAGGCAAATGTTTATATTTTTTTAATCAATTTAGTTGTTTTGCTCAGGTTGTTAGGGCCTGACCAACTTTCAAATATGGGTTTCATTAGTCTTTGTTATATGAGAGACTTGTATGTATGAATAAAACCTTTTGTTTTCAAAAGGCTGAATTAATTTGACAATGTGTTTCTTTATCATCTTAAAAGTTCTTTATACAAACATTTTGAACATTTATAGTTTCTGAATAATTGTTACACAATGAAATGGAAACAGCTTGTTGGTTTTCTTCATAATAGACATTTCAGCTTCACTTAAAAGCCAGTCTAGTTTTTCCATTGTTAGCTGCCTTGTATAAAGTAGGGCAATGATTAGGGCTTGAATCTTCCCAGTTTGTGTAGGTGGGTGCTAGCCATCTCCATATTCTTCTTTGCATGTTATCTTTGGAATGGATGATGTTTCTACTACTTTCTTGGAATCTGTTGCGCATTGTTTTAGCAAAGTGTGAGTGCCAATAAATGCTAGGAATTTGGTTGCAACCCAAATAGAAATTCTAAACTCTTCTTTAGATCCAAATTTCTCAAATAAAAAAAAACATTTATAATAGAAAAAATGAAGCAGATTTTAAATTCTCTGAAGTTAGAATCTTTTTCGTTGTATCTTATTTGTCTGAGTGGTTTAAAATGTTGCAACTTTGCTATAGCAACTTTTCTTTTTTGTAGATATTGTGAGATTATGACATAGATTTGCATTTAATCCCCTCTAATAGAATCCATATAAGTATCCAATTCTAATATGGTTTGGGGGACATGAACTGAAATGTCAGAATATTATTGACATCATAGACACTAGACAGTTTTAACTTTTAAATTAAAATCTTTTCAAAATGCATAAACATGTAAAGAAAAAAAATGCATTTATTTATTTAGTCTCTTTAGCTGACAAGTTTCATATTTCTAGCATGTACTACTTTTGATGCTTCCTTCATAATAAAGATACAGTTGAAATAAGCACAATGTTTCTACTATGATATGGAATATATTGTATCTGTTTATTTCCACTGAGAAACAAATATGCAAATTCATTTTTGAGTAATATGTTTATTTCATTTATTGGTGAATCTATGGGCAAATAAGACAGCATGATGATCAGTTGCTATTTGCAAAGACATTGTGAAAAAATGTTTCTTTTTCTGCTTTCTTTAGGTCTGATGGTAATGATGGTTGGCTGTTGCTGCTGCTGAATGGAGTATCCTTGCCCCAGCCTTGACAACATTCCACTGCCTGATGGGGCCCAACCGGCAAGGCTAAGAGAGAGAAAAAAGCCCACGGTTTATCCACCAGCAGTGTCTCCTGGGACCAGCAACACTAACATCTCAACAGATGGCCAGCTCACCACCTTCAACATGGCTGATGTGCCTTTGCCAAGCACCAAGTACAACACTGATACTCAAACTTTATCGATTCCTTTACCCGAAGGCAACAATTCCTCCACCACCACTTCCTCCTCCTCCTCCTCCTCCTCTAAAACTCTTGTTGACAAACTTTTTGAGGACTTTCTCTCTCAGAAGATCAAGCAACCCGAACGATCTACGAAGGCACAGAGCTCCTCAAAACCAGCTTTTACAAATTCGGTGGAAGAAATAAAACGCTTTTTGGACAAGGAGATTAACCAGCTGTCCTCTAAGGCAGGTTTTGCTGAATCACCTGCCATTGGAGCGGACACTCCAGATGTAAAGAATCAGATTGCTGCTGAAAGGGAAGCTGTCCATGAGGAAAGCACAAGTGCAGAAAATGCTTCAACTGTTGTCAATCAACGGACTACTATGACTTTACCATTAAAAATCAAAATATCTGATTCCAGTGTTGCTCGGATTTCTTCTGCACAGTTACGCCCACCCAGCTGCAACCTGCCACAGTCTGGTAAGTTTCTTCTTGAAAAAATAATTGAATCTTGCCTCAGTGTGATTTCCTACTTTTTTTTTTTTATTTTGATAAGTTTATAATGTATTTTAAAATGCATTTGATTGATTTCGTTTTTTTTTTTTTTTTTTTTGATAGTGAAGAATGAAAAAGTATTTAAACACTTGAACAATTTTTTTTCTTAATAATTTTTTACAGTAGAAATTTATTTGTAATTAGCACAAATGTTTTAGTAGGGAATTTGAAAATGTGAATAAAATTAAGTTTAAATGAATGGAGATTTTTACATGAAAATTGTAGTCAAAACTATATTTTGACAATAATGGAAATTGGAAGACTGATAGGAAACTGAATCCAATAATCTCATCTTAATTTCAGAACATTGAATGGTTCCTCAGAAACTTCCCATGGCTCCATTTCATCTTATTAACTGCATCAACTGTTAACTAAAGTTAGTAATAGTGGTGGGGTCATTATAGCAAAAATTAAACAACATACTGATGATTAGAACTACAGCAACTTAGAAATATTTCTGTTAACTTAAGGTTAATTGTACATAAGTAGAAGTTTTGGATAACCAGAAATTTTACTCTTTGTAAAATATCTCTGAGAGCATTCTTCTGATCAAAGGGTTCGAGAGATAGGACCTAGAGATGTAAAATAGATACCATTCAATTTGTATCATGAAGTTCTATAAATGTACCAAATTAGAAAAATAAATCTATCGGTGATGGTCAGATACTTGGTGATGGTCAGATACTTGGTGATGGTCAGATACTTGGTGATGGTCAGATACTTGGTGATGGTCAGATACTTGGTGATGGTCAGATACTTGGTGATGGTCAGATACTTGGTGATTTGACACGGAATGACTCAGCAGAGAAAAGAGCATCCACCTTATTTTTCTCTGATGGCACAAATGTTATACACACCTTCAGGCTAAATTAAATTAACTTTACCACTTTTTTTTCTTTGAATTTTCTCAATAATAACCTTTGGTTTTACATGTCCAGTCAGAGTTGCCAATTCATTTCAGATTACAGTATACTGCAAAGCTCCACCTTAAATTCAAATTGATGCCCTTCAACACAACACCCAATTTGGCTACATTTTTTTATCAACCATTTTTTACCTATATAATAGCTATATAGCACCTATTATAGCATATAGCTATAATATCGCCTATCTCTAAGACAATGTCTTAGCCACTTTTTCCAGTATAGGCACATAAATCTCTCACTGGATCATACACTTTCATTGTCTCCACAATGTCTCCATATAGCAATTATTCTTTCTTCTAATTTATTTTCTCAGCTCACACCATCATCTGTTTTCTTAGCAAAGTTACATGCAGCTTGGTGACATCCAGTATTAGACTAGTGGCCTGCTAGTTCTTCATATGTAGACACCAATTTCTACCTAATCATAGTTTCCTGATTCTTGAATCTTACTTCTCCCTTTGAAAAACCAGCTTGCCCATCTTGTCTTATTCAATCGGCTACTCTTTCAATTCTGTCATTTTAAAATTCAACTATGTATGTTGCAACTCAGATCAACAAAATCTTCTCTTTTGAAAAGAGCACTTGTATTCAGTAAAGGAACACAAAGAATAAACAAACATGACACTTTCCAAAAATTTCAATATATTGCTAATTTCAAATTTTGTTCTTTATCTTATCACATAAGTTCCTTTTCTTTAAACATCAGATAAAAAAAAAGTAAGGCTTGTTGTGCACTTTAAACACATTTAAAGTACTGAAGCGCATCTTTTGAAGTCTTAATTAAAATAGCATAAAATTAATTCAATAAAAATTACTTTTAACATAAATCAAATTTTAAGACTTAAATATTGTTTACATTTCTGTCAACACATTCTACCATAATTGATACAGATGTCAGTTAACAAGAAAAAAAATGAACATTTGAAATAGGTACCTCCACAAGATTGCTAAAAAAAGAGCATAGCATGATGAAAAAGAAACCAAACTTGACGAAAACAAAATTTTATCGTCTAAATGTTTGTTATTATTAAGAGGAAAGATCAAAGTTTATTTTAATTATTTTTAAAAATTTATCCTTTGAACAATCTGAATTTTCATTTAAAAATCCTTGTTTCTCTTTGTATCACCGAGACTACTAAAATAACATATACAATTTTTCGTATGTTTTTTTTTTTTTTTTTTTTGTATGACACATTAATTTGGAAAATCTTGCAAAAATAAAAATAATTGTCAGATGTTAATGAAACTTTCAGAAACTATTCACAGATGATTGAAATTATTATAAATATGTTTTCTTTTATTAAAGTCATGGCAGAAATATTTTTTTTTTATATTTATTACCTTCCCCCCAAACTAATTTTATGAAAACTGTAGAAATTCGATCAAGTCCACTTTAGTAATTACAATAGTTAAAAACACAAGGCTTTGAGGAATGCAAATCATGTTTTTTTTTTTTTTGTTTTTTTTTTAATTGGACCCCCTACCTGAAAATCAGCCCTGAATTGTAACATACAAAACTCAATAAAACAAAGATATTATTTAATTTCAAATGCTTTTATTTACTTTTAGTTGTTTTTATGAATATGGACAATATTTTCTGAAAGCAAAAAAAAATTTTGATGAAAAATGAATTTTTTATACAATTGTTTGTTATTTTTTAATTATAATAGATTTTTACATTTAAGTTGTTAAAATATTATAAAATTAGTTAAAAGCCGCATCCACTTTCGTAAGTGTCCTTATGAGATCATTTTTTTAGCGCGTTGTACATTGTATCGTTTTGACTAGTCAGAAGACCCGCAGTAATTAAGAAATGTAATTTTGTGTTTATAATCGGGCTGTAATTATAAAGTACGGAAGACCAACCAGAATACAATTAAGTTGCGTTATTTGAGTTAAGCATTGTTCTCCGCTGTTATGGCCGTTACTTTTGCAAAACACGTGTGGAGAAGTTTATTTGATTTTTCTATTTCAACTGAGAAGGGTACCTACACGTATCAGTATCATCTTTTGAAATTTATATGATCTTATTTTTATATTAATCTCAGTTGCAGCATTTTTTCCATAAATGAAATATCAAAATTAATAATAAAATGAATGGAAATACAAATAACACAGTAAAATGTAGTAAATGTACATAAAATTATAGTATTTTATGTACACTTCTGATAAAATTTCATAAGAAAGGTACCTATAAATTAATTAGGTACCTGTCAAGTGACACGAAAGTTTATGGCCTGCTTTGTTTTATTTTCAAATTACATTTTTCCAGCGCAGAAGCTAAGCTAAGTTAAGCTTGGTTCAAAATATTTTAAATAAACATAATTTCTGATTTTCTTACAAATAAGTTTTGGAAAAATAATTGATTTATATTTAAAAGAATTTCAAACTAAGATTTTCCTTTTTCTTTTTTTTTCTAAAAAAAATGAAAATCTCAGTTTGAAAAAAAATAATTTCGGAAAAAAAACGTTGCCATCTGCCAATTTTGCTGACTCAAAAGATTTTTAATGAAAATTTTGGATGTGCTAGGAACGATTAAAAAATGTAAAAAAAATACCCCAAAAATACTTTGATCTTTCCTCTTAATAATAACGTAGACATTTAGACGATAAAATTTTGTTTTTGTCAAGTTTGGCGTCTTTTTCATCTCTCCTTTTTTTTTTTTTTTTTTTTTTTTTTTTTAGCGATCTCGTGGAGGTACCTAATTTAAAAATATCTTTCAAGAATAAAACAAAATATGGGAACTTCATTTCTAACTACACTAAAATTTGAAATTTGGGAACTTCATTTCTAACTACACTAAAATTTGAAATTATCAGTACTTTTTTTTTTATAGCAACTGAAAGTTCATTTTTTTCTTTTTAGGCTGAACAATTGTTAATTTTTTTTTTTTTTTTATAATCTCAGAAAGTGTAAAGAAAAATGTAGAAATCTTTTCTTTTTAATTATCTAAATGATTTACTTAGACTTAATTATCAACAATTTTTGATGACCCAAGAAAAGGCTGCTTTTTTTTTTTTTTTTAAACATGTGTTCTAAGTCTTTACATAAAGTGCAGTAAGAAAAGTGCATAGGGACTGATATTCAAATGAGAAAATTATTTCCTAGAATATATGGTAATTACAAAATTGTCATTTGATTTTAAAGAAACGAAGAATTTTAAAACATTAAAAACATTTACTAATTTTAATTAAACAAAAATTATATTTTTCAATAAATACCTTTTCATACACAACATAAATATCTATTGTATTTAAAAAAACAATTAATTATTTTACAAACAAAATAATAGTTTAGTTTTATTGCAATTTTTAAATTTTGATGCTAGAAATAAAATTGTATACTTATATTGAAATTTAAAATAACATTTAATTTTTCCAAAGGGTTATCTTTTATAAAAATGTAAATATTTATAATGTCTAAAAGTTACTTTCCTGAGGTTTCATAAATTTGAATTTTCATTTAAAAATCCTTGTTTCTCTTTGTATCACTGGGACTACTAAAATAACATATACAATTTTTAGCAAGTGGGTATATTGTTTTAAAAAAAATAATTTCTGGAAATTTTTCTGACACAATCTCTTGTTCATCAATAAATTCATTCATCAATGAAGAATTACTTAAAATTTAATTAAAATCCAGTAATTAACTCATTTTTGGTAAATTTTTGGAATAAACGTGTAGTCTACCTGAAATTATTTACCAATGTAAATGGCATTTTTATAGTAAAAACAACTCCTCAAAGATTTTAAAAAAAATCTCTAATTCTGTACATTGGAAATAGTTTTGTATGAAAATTTTCTCCAATCATCCTTCTTTTGAATGACAGATTATTACAGTAAAATTAAATGCAAATTGTTTCAGTCATTTCTTATTGCCTGGTCACCTTGTTTTCAAAATTTCATTATACATTCTATCAAAAAATGTTTCTCTCCCTTTTTTTTTCTTTCTTAATATTCATAGATTTTTACCTTTTTTATTTTTTGTGAATCAGATTTTGCTTCTTTGTCAAAATCAAATAAATTGTGAGTTTCTAATGAAGAAGCTGCTTTCAATGTGCTTCCTCTTCTCTTTGCTGTGCATATGTGAAGAGAGCACAACAAATAGTTATCTATCTTATGTGAGCCTTTTACCATTGTGATTCTCTGTTTTACACTGAACTTGTTAAAAAATTAGCAATAAATAAGATTGCTTGGGTTAAATCCTGTGGAACTAATTTCTTTGGTATATGTTTATCTGTTTTCTATATGGAATTGCTGGGACAGGCAGCTAGCAAATCTCTTTTCAATGTAAATATTTTCTGTAAGCTGTGGAAAGTGATAATAAATTGTTGAACAAAGCATCAAAACATTTAGGCTCAGGCTAATAATGTGATAAAAAAAAATAAGTGTTACTCGTTTTGTTGTTTATTTCTCCTTTTTAGTCTTTTCTCTCTCTCTCTCATTCTTGTAATGCTTCTTTTTCTCATTTTCCTTCTCAGTGTGGACTTCGTTTTGCAGGTTGTCATACAATTTTTTTTAAAGCATATGCCTCCTTTTGATTTTTGTTGGAAAACAATTCCTCCATTCAAATTTAGATAATTGGATAGTATATTTTCATTTGCTCAATATTTTTTTTTATTAACCATCCCCTTTAGCACTCTGCATTATTGTTGTTACTTCCCTTTCCATTCTTTTTCAAGGCCTCTGAATTGCAGTATCCTTATTGTTAATTTCACTCAAAGTTGTTTTCTGTTGCCATAACCGGATATGACAACACAACTATGAAATTCAAACACCTATTGTTCAGGGATCTGTCACCTTCAGTGGCAGGATAAACACATTTTGTCCAGCAAATAAAGAGTCACATACAGTGTGATAATTATTACCCTTATCACATGTAATTTTAACATCATTATTGATTATACTTGTTTATTTTGGTGGGTAGGAGTGGGGTTTAGTTAATTGGAATATTAATAAAAACAAAAATTTTGTGATCTGTTAATCCTTAGACATTTCACAAAAGTATGTCTGGTTTACTTTATATTTGACAGTTGAAAAAATGAAATCCTTTGGTGCTATATAATCTTGTAAAAGTTGGTCCTCATGAGAATCAAAAGATCAATATAAATATTTTATTTTACAGATGAATTGGTTGATAAAGTTCCAGTTGATGAAGAGGAATGTCAACCCACTGCCAAAACTGTTTGCTCTGTGAGTCTTCCTGAAAATAAGACAACAGAAGTAAAAATTGACCCCATTACTCCTGAGGCAGACCCCGAGTCAAATGGGGCAATCGCTGATGTTGAAGCCAAACCTTCCAAGTCAAGCAAAAAACATAAACATAAAAAGAAAAAGTCACATAAACATTCAAAAGACAAAAACAAGTCAAATACAAAATTACGGTAAGAATTTTTTTTTTTTTTTTTTTTTTTTTTGTCTTTTCTCTAAATGAAAAGAAAGGTTACATGTTCTCCATATAAAATATTTGACTCTTCATACAATAGTACAGGGTTTTATTTCATTTTTGTGTAGCTGTTTTTTTCCTTTTGAAGATTTGAGATTTAATTAAAATCCATGGAAATTATTTTCCTTTGCTTCTGTATTCTTGAAATTTAAATTTTTCCTAGAAACTTGTAGAAAATCTGTAGTGACTCCTCTCTGGAAATTTATCCTTGATCTTATTAAGTTTGGAAAACTAAATTTTGTTCAGTGGCGATTATCTGACTTTAAAGTTTCTACCAAAACTATTGAGTGATTGTTGTGTAACTATGTGCAAGAATAATACAGAAACAGTGCAGCAGTGACTTTGATCCTCACTAAGTGCTCTACTCTTATAGCCCTGTGCCAGGAAAAAAAGAACAATCTTTTTTTTCTATTCTTTTTTGCTTAGTGTTCATTTAATGCCAAGAGCATCTAGTATCATTGTTCTGCTGCAATGATTTATCTATGTAATGATTTAATTTTTAGTTTTATTTGTAGCAGAACAAACTTTTAATTGGTGCTGACTAATTTTCAAAAATTGCCTTTTTGCCAGTTCAGGCAAAAGGGCATAAGTTGTTTTTTTGTTTTCGTTCATGATATTCTGCTAGTTATATAATGTTATACAGAAATAAAAACATTGTCTTGAGCAATCAATTGGAGCATATAGAGACCTCATAAAACTTGTTAGGAAAAACCTGTTTCTATTAAAATCTATTTCAAATCTTCTTCAATTTTAAAAAAGCAGTCACTATTTAAACTAGATTAAAATATCAATTTAGTTAAGCCATTATTTGGTTATATTGAAGGGACTTGTGCTTCATCACCATCATTCTTTTTGCCCTGTGTGCTAAGACTAGTAGATGATTGGAGAAAGATTTGCATTCTTCTGGAGATGTGATTAGAATTTTCATTCTTTCCAATTTTCTGTTCCAGTAGTTGGTAAAACAATAGACATATGTGCCTATAGATGATAATGATGATCAATTGAAATTATATTCATTTTTATTGAGCTAAGTCAAATTTTATATGGTTGCATTTCTGAATCGCCAAATGGCTTACAAGACAAAAATATTTTATTCTTTAGTAATAACATGCCATTGAGGTATCAGAAAAGAGAAAGAAAAGAAAAAAACATTAGAAAAATTGGTGGGAATCATTAATGGTAAACTTAGTAGGTTATTTGATTCCTGCCATTTGTACACAGTTTGAGAATTAGAATTCTTTTAATGAGTTAAATTTGGTGGTACAGGCCATAAGTAAAAAATAAAATTAAAAAGTTGAGCCACTGATAGGAAAAAGCAAAGGTGACTTGAATAACTGTTTGCTAATTTTTCTTTCTTCTTCTGCAACAAGATGTTTATACTGTGGTACAATTTTTAACTAAAAATGTTTTGTGCCAAAAGAATAGAATATTTCTTTTTGAGAATTGGCAAATATTGTGTGCTAACATTGTTCATATATATATATATATATATAAACTTGTTTCACCTCATTTTTTTTCTTTCCATTTCAGGCTACACAGTAAGAAACACAAATCAGTGACCAAAAGCCACTCCAAAACTAAACACAAATCAAGCAATTGCACCAAATCTCCAAAGAAGTCCTCAAAGACTTCTCACTCTAAATCTAAATCCTCAAAGAAATCCAAGAAGACCAAAACGAAAACAGATTCTAAATCCAAACAATTGGCAGAAAGTTTTGAAGTAGAAAGCAAATCTAACAAAAAATCCAGGACTCTGTCAACATCACCAGAAAATCAGTCAGATCCACTTTTAGGTAAGCTGTCTGATGTTAGTCAAATTCTAGATGAGAACTCTACACTAAAATCTCCAAAGAAAGAAGAAAAACTCTATGCACCAATTACAAATTCTGATAGAAAAACCTGCAGTCAATCAAGATCGAAATCTCCGGAATGTTCTCCCACTCGAAAAATAACAAATCCTAAATCTTCTTCAGAAGACAGTTTTGTTCAAAAAGACATGAGCTCGTCTCCATTCCAAGCCAAGACATTGCCATTAAAAACTTTACCATCTCCTCCTCTTCAAGCTAACCTGACCTCCCACATACCTGTTACAACATCCGTGGCACTTGTTACTCCAGTGACAACTTCATCTACGTTGCAAGTAGCTACTGTGTCATCAGTGTCAAACATGGCACCACCTCTTCTGTCACAATCACATTCTACATCCTCTTCAGAGCTACCAGCTGTATCACACTGTCTTGAATCGGTGACACCTTCATCTTCTGTGCCATTGTCTAATGTGACAACAGCCAATTGCTCTCAGTCAGATCTGTTATTGCAGACCTCATCACCAGTTGTGTCTGAGGCACTTTTATTCCCTGCCCTAGTTTCCACACAATCCCCTCCTTTGTCGCTCTCATCTCAACTGAATCAGTTGCCTGTTTTGTCATCAACCAAGATCTTACAGCCGGTACATGAGCTGGGTGGCACCGTTTCTCATGTTGCAGCCTCATTGGAGACCCTACCTTCCTTAGATATATTTAACAAGTCTCAAGAAAAAGGCACCGTTCCAAATTGCTCACAGACATCCTTGCAGATGGGGCTTCTTGAACCAAGCACCAGTATGTCTTCAGATCTGGCCCCAAATTCCTGTATGTCTAGCCCCACTGACTTGAATGAACAGGCCAATAAGGTTGATTCTTTGAAGCCCTTAACTAAAAACCCCACTGCCAAACAAAGTGGTTTACTTGGACTAGCAGCTTACTTCAAGTCAAAAGCCAAATCACCCTCTCCAGAATCAACAAAAGATATTAAGCCGGCAAAAAGTTCCAGCAAAAAGACAAAATGCTTTTCTGATTCTAGTGATGAATCATTAACTCAGAAGCGATCTCGTTCCACATCTCGAAAGTCATCACACTCACGCTCCTTGTCCCGTTCTGGCATTGGAAAGCATTCATCATCCGATAAACGCAAGAAAACTCGTCCTCGCTCAAGGAGGTCACGATCGTGGTCCCGATCACGATCACATTCACGTTCCTGGTCAAAATCAAGGCGGCGATCTTCATTGAAATCAACTAAAAAGCGATCGCGCTCAAGGTCTCGATCACGCTCTGATGAGAGGGGCAGACAGTCTTCATTTCGCTCGAGTAAGCGCTGTTTTAGTCGCTCACCCTCCCGGTCACGTAACAAAACGTATGGAAGGTCGAGATCTCGTTCCAGGTCTCATGGCAGGAATTGGGTAACTGGCCGTGGTGCCTCCAAGTCTCGATCTCCGTCCAAGAGGGCATCTTATCGGCGGACACGTTCTCGGAGCAGGTCATATTCAAGGGGGAGATATCGACATCGCGTTTCGTCGCGTTCAAATAAATCCAAATCCAGGTCCAGATCCCGATCAAGGTCAAATATCAGGTCACGTGATAAAAGGTCAAGGTCACGAAGCAGTGGTCACCATAGAGATTATCGTCAAAGCAATAACAAGTGAGTATAAAAGATACAATTCTCTCTCAAATCTTTGTTGAATCATGACAAAAAAAATTCCTCATTTTGTTCTGCTCTGATATCTGCTGGTCACTTTTGGCCTTCTCAGGTCATTTCTCTTTATTTGGCCTGAAAGTGTTGTGACTGCGTTTCAATGCTGGTGGCTCTGTTGACGTTAGTGTTGGTACTACCAAGATCTTGCTGGTTACTCTTCCTTTATAACAGACTTAGGGATTCTATTGATAGGATGCACAACTCTCATGTGGACTTGCTTCTCGGATGGACCTTCTGCCTCTGACTCTTACCTGCCGAGCTGATCAGAAGGATCGTCTTATAGCAACGTGGAACTAGCAGCATGGCTTATCACTTGCCATAGCAACCTAGTGACAAGGACTGTTTGCTTTTTATGCAGATTTTAGTTTGGAGCACTTTTGTGACCCTTTGGCTCTGGGGCACAACAGACTGTTGGCCTTCCTGGTGCCTCGACTGCCATCACAGTTTTTTTTTTTTTTTTTAATTTTTTTTTTATTGTTTTTTTTTTATTTTTATTTTTTTTATTTTATTTCTTGTAATCTGTCATAAAAATAACTTTGGGAAATAAATTCCATTTTGTACATAAAGTGGTATTGTCACTTTTTTTTGGTTACTGGTTGTTTTCCTCTTGCATGGGCTGAGAAGCTGTGAAGATACCGGGATTACTTCTGTTTATTTCTCTCTGGGGAAAATTGCTAAAGTGCAGCATGTATTCTATCTCTTTGCTGTTATGAATTTTGTAATAAATGTAAGTTGGAATCTGGTTTAAAAATCTGTCTTCCTTCTTGTGAGTTATAGTAATGAATTTCTACCAAGCATATAGATTTCAGCTTTAGTCTTTTTCATTAAGCTGTGTATTTAGGACTAAATATTACATATTACATAGTGTATTAAAAATCTTTTTTGGATATAACATGAAGTCAATACATTAAATTTCACTGCTGACTCATGCCCATGATAGTTACAATTATAAGAAATAAGATTAAACCAAAAAAAAAAAAAAAAAAAATCATCTACCCCTCCACCCAAACCAACCTTTCTTCAATATTCATAGTATTCGTACTAATTTCTGTAGTGTAAAATCTTTTACTCTTGAAAATTTCTCCAGATATCTTAACACTTTATACCAATGAATTCTCTGTTGCAGGCTATCTTTCTCTTTGTCAAAAAGATTCTAGTATACATATGCATGGCCTTGGTGTTTACATCCAGTAAAATTCTTCTAATGTTAGGAATCGCCTCTTGAATTACTGGATGATTCTTTCATGTGCTTTCGACTTTCTTTATTGCACTCTGTTAGCTATTATTATTATTTTTCTTTTCTTGCTCCCCTTTTTCTCATGACTGTAACATTAGACAAAATATCTGACAGTACAGAAATGGCTCACTCTTTCTAAATTCATCTGTGAACATCTTTGTGTTTAATGATTTTAATTCTCATCATGTCAAGTAACTTAATCATTCTAATGTTACAAATGTTGCCAGTATTCAGACTTTAAATTTTTCCATTGCTCAGTCTTTCAGTCAAATGTTTCCCTACTCATTTCCCTAATAATTCTGCTCAATGTGTTTCTTTACTTGATTTGTTCCTTACTTAATTCCTCTGTTCCTTTTGTTAATCATTGCAACTTTGTCCTCTTGGCAATTCAGATCATGCAGTAGTATCTGTTAATATTACTTTTGATTCATAATTCATTTATTAAACAGGAATCTCCTATTCAAAAGCCTATTCATTATAATGTTGTCAGGGTACTGATTGTGTATTTTCATTTTGTGATTTTCTTCGCAATGTTCCTTGGAGTGAAATTTTAAAATTTCCAATTGAAAATTGTGCTCCTGAGTTTCTTCTTGAGAAAAACGTAGCATTGATGCTCTTGTGTCATCTCAGAAATACCAGGTAGAACCACAATCGTTTTTATTCACACCTGTTTGTTCAGATGCTATAACCCACGGGGATCACTTTTCCTAGCTGTACTAACATGATATTTTTCATCACAACAGACACCTCTTTTGTCAATTAGTAATAATTGTAAATATGTTCTCAATGAGGCTAAGTCTTTGTCCAATGACTGAATGACACAGTGTATAGCCTCTGACAAGTTTGATTCTTGCAACTACTAGTGGCTCTATAATAATGTGGGTAAATCCTTGCTTCACTCCATTTGAGATGTTCTCATCTCTGCTGATAAAACATAATGCTTTGCTTGTAAATTGCCTTCCAATTCTCCTCTTGATTCTTCTGGAGTATCTTTGCCTGACTTTCCATTTAGAACTGAGTCTACTGTGTGATCTATATATAACTTCATCCATGGTTTCTGTTCTCATCTCTAAACAGGATTCCCATAAAGCATGTGGTCTTGATAGTGTCTCTGCAATAGTTCTAAAGAAATGTGCTTCTGAAATAGCTCCTGTTCTCTCTAAATTCTATAATAAATGCTTTGCTGCTGCTTGTTTTCTTGCTTATTGGAACTCCTCTTCTGTAGTTTCTGTTCTTAAGAACTTAGGCAAACAATCTGATCCTTCTAACTATTGGCCCATTAAGTATTAGAGGCTCTAATCAAATTTAAATTGGTTAAGCATCTCATCTCACAGGGTCTTCTTTCAAATAAAAGTATGGCATTTTCTTCTCTACGTTAACTGCTGATGTATTGTTAATGCTGAAAGAATCACAAGCTTTACATAAGAATGGTGAAGTGTGGGCTATTTCTTTGGATATCTCAAAATTGTTTGGCATGCTGAGGTGTTATGGAGTTTTTGGCCAAATCTTTCATTTGATTCAATGTTTCTTATCAAATCACAAAATGAAAGTTATCATGAACAGTCACTTTTGTAGATGTTTTTATGTTAATGTAGTTATCTCCCAGGGCTCTATTCTTGAACCTAATTTGTTCCTAATGTTCATCAATGACCTTTTTGATGTCATAACTTCTTGACTTGGTATCTATGCTGATGACACAACTATTTACTCCTGACTTAATGGTAAGTCTGATCAGTTTGGTATGTTCAAATTGTCAGCTAATATAAACATTGACCTTCAATCTGTTGTTAACTGGGACAAGAAATAGCTTGTTAATTTGAATGCCTCTAAAACAAAACTATTCACTTGTAATATTCCTGGAGAACCTTTTTTGCCTTCAGTATGGCTGATGCTAACTTCCAGAAGAATGATTCATTGTGCCTTCTCAGATTAAAGTTTTCTACTGACAATGGAATGATTATATTGAATCATTTGCTCGGAAAGTTGGTCAACTGTCTCGTTCTAGACAATTTTTCTTGCCAGAATCTATGTTACATCTTTATCAGTCTGTCATTTGTCCATGCATTGAATATTGGTGCCACATTTGGTCTGATACTCCTGCTATGTATCTAGAGAGTCTTGACAAAATTAAAAGAAGAATCTGCAGTGTTATTGGTCCTGACCTGTCATCTCAGCTTCAGTCACTTTTCCATCACCATAACGTAGCTTTCCTGTACCTTTTCTATAAATACTTTCATGGTAATTGTTTTGATCAGCTTTCCTCTTTGGTACCTCCATGTTATGAATTTAATTGCAGTACCGGATTGGCAGCTAGGTCTCAACATTTTACTGCTGAAATTGCTAGATGTAACCATAAGTTCTATGTTAACAGTTTCTTCTCTCAAACATCTCTTCTGGCTTCTTGCTTTCTAGTCAACTTTGATCTTGAAAAATTTAAATGCAATATCAATTGTCATCTTCTTTCTCATTGAATTCTGTTCTTCTATTGTATTCTCCTTAATAATTATTTTCCTTGGTTTCTTTCCCTTTCCCTCTCAGTAACTCCTTACATCTTAGTGGCTTTATTGCCTTGATTGGGGTGAAATGATTTTTTTTTTTTTTTTTAAAAAAGAGAAAGTCGCCGTATAAGAAGTTCTACTTTCTGATGCAAAAATTCCACAAGGAAATATAAATTCTAACCTGTGATTTCTTTGATATCTAAATACTTTCAGAGTATTTCATGATGGCACCAATATTGTTGGCATATCTTTGGACATGTGGCAAAGTAGCTATTTCTTTTGCGCTTGCATAGTGGCAGTGCAATAAACTGATGCCTGAGCATTTTCATCTTAAATGTTAGTTTGGTAAAGTTATGTATTTTGTCTTAAGGAAAACTGTTATTTTAAACCAAAGCTATTATTGGTTGTGGTTAATCTTGTAAAATCTATATTCGCTATCCCTACATGAGGTAAAAAGATTCTGGTATTAGAATTTCAATAAATGATCCTTCATTCCACTTTAGTGTTGTGGTGTAGATCCTCTTAAAAGACAATCCTGAAGATCCAAGCACTTTCTTCGGATATTTTTGTTGCCCCTTGTATTTGAAAGGATCATCTTTGGTTTTCAACAGAGCGAAGCAGAATGAATACAAGTCATTTATGGCCAACTTCTTTAAAAAAAACAAACTTATGCCCAAAACCACAATGATGAGGTGACTGGACAAAAGAAACTGTTTTGGTTACCTGTACAGATTGTTGCAACAACAAGGTATTTACTTTTTTTATATTTAAATATACCAGCAATAAAAGATAATATTTAATTTCTTTAGTCCCCAGGCAAAATGATGGATTTGAAGAATGCATGGATTTTTTAAAAAAAATCTTTTTTTTTTTTTTTTTTTTTAAATTTTTGACCACTTTTAAGCTTTTTTAACTCTAAAAAACTTAAAATCTGCCTTCAAGACAGACTGCAATGCATTTCTTACTTTTGTTATTGTTCGCCTTTGTTTAAGGCTGTATCAATTGGGAATAAACTTTCAGTTTCCCACAATCTAGTCTGAACTTTATTAAAGGAATATTTTTTTTTTTTTTTTTTTATCTCTTCCTCAATGACCATTTTCAATCATGTTTCACTCTCTAAAAACACATTCACAATCATGATTTCTCATTATCCTTTAGTGGGAAGCATTTTAAACTGAAAGTTATGTTAGATTTTATAAGGTTTTAGAATTATCAGATAAAAAAAGAAATTTGTTTTTTATTGACACAGCATTGACATTTGTGTGTCTGTAGGAGAAAAGGACTCCTTGCAAAAAATCAAGCAGATTATTTTGCTGTGGCTTGAAAGTACAAAATTAAATTTCTGAAGATCAATTGTATTGTGATCTTCATACTTTACAAAAAAAATACTCTACAAAACTTGAAGGTGGTCTCCTCAAAGAACGGTATTTTAAATTTCATTGTTAAAGTCAATGGCAATTTTTTATTCTTTAATGCCATATTAAATGTCGATCAGACTTAGCCAGTAGCTTACTTAGAAGCTATTTTTTTAATGTTTACACCAGACAATTTTGAATTAAGAAAAAAGATTGAAATAACAATGCTTTTCAAAGATTGGTTTGTCAGTATTATTTTTTGCCTTGAGAAACGAAACATCTGTGGCAAAAAAGTTTAGGCTTTTTTTTTTTTTTTTTAATGGTAAATTGATATAATTCAATTAGGTGCACATTTAACTACTTATCACCAAAGGTCTGGTGGTGGCAGTAAATGTTTATATCAAAAAGATTTTTTTATTCTAATGAAAGCATTTGTTACTAAATAAACAAAATATTCAGTCACCCACTTTTGATGAGAATAGCTATCATAATTTTTACCTCAAGTTGTATGAAAAGAAATCTTTTCTGATTTTTCTGATCCACATCAGTTTACCAATTTCCTGAAGGCAGTCAAAGAGACTTGATAATTCTTCATCATCATCATCATTCTATTCTTTTCAGTTCTCAATTTAAGTGTCTTTAATTTCCAGGTTTTTTTTTTTTAATATAAAAACAAATGACCTTATTAAAATCACATTCCTAATTAATAGAATGTATTGGTATTAAAAAAGCAAAAGAAAAATACCAAATTTCCTGGAACTTTGGCTAGAATGGCAAATATTTTCCTGAATGATCTGACATCCCCCTCCCACTTTTTTTTTTTTTTTTTTTTTTGTTTGGTGGCAGTCCACAGTACTTGATTTGTCTCCCTTGGAAAGAAGGCCTTTGGCTTAGACTGATTTTATCTTAGATGAATCACAGAACATATGCAGGAGTTCATTGATTTGGGTAAAATTACAAGAAAATAAAATTTAAATTTCTGGGAATTATTTGTTAAATTCTTACCTGAATTCAATATCAAACTATTATAAATCATAAATTTATTAAATCAATTCATAAAAAAAAAAATGATACACTACATTATTGTCAGTGGTAAACAAAATGATTGATTCACCTTTTCTAACATTTTTACTATTGATTTTTAGGTTCAAATTGAAATAAGTGAGAAAGAAAAATATCTTTTGAATAAAGATTTGTGTAGATTTTTTTTTGGTGGGGGGGTTATAAAATGTTCACAAAATGATTGTCACTTGGAATTGTGCTAAAAAGTAGTTTGCCATGAGAAGGATAAACTAAGAGGGCAATATTTCTATTAAGAGCTCTTTTGAAAAAGCATATTTGATGGTAATAGTAAGTTGATTTCTAGTAGTAGCAATTAAATATGACTTTGCATACAACTAAAAAGTAGGTAATTTTCTGTACAATTAGCCAATAATACTGTAGAAAATAGCTGCACATTTGTTGAAGAGAATTAATAAATGTATTGATTCTGAACAGTCTGTAAACAAATTATTTGAAATTCTTGTCCTACCATTTTTCTTTTACAGAGGACTGGGATTTCTTGTAACAGATAAAGCTATTTTTATTTAATTTTTTTGTATAGATTGTTAAATATTGAAATTGAGCATACTAAATTTAGCCTTAGTTACTATACAGTCAATCATTTTTTGGCAAACATTGAATTATTTTTATTTTGTTTTTGGAGCACCTAGAAAGAAAAGTGGCATATAACTCCAGCAGTCATGGGTTAACAATCAAACATGCATTTGGGTCAGAAATACCATAAAGGTGCAACAACAAAATGAAACTTTTTTTTCTTTGAAAAAAAAAAAATAAAATAGTTCTAAACGTTTTTAACTCTTGCTATAAATGCAATCCTCTTTTTTTTTTTTTTTTTTTAATTTTCCCTAATTTTCCCTAATCTTTATAGTATTTATAATAAAAATTGTTTTTGGATCATTTTATGTTTATTCCTGATATATAATTAAATTTTATCTAGTGTGTGAGGCAATTGGTAGTATTAAGGGTTAAAATTGAATATTGTCTAGTTAATATCTTTGAGAAAGGCATGCCATAGCTACAAATACTTCTAAGAAGAGAAAGATTAGTTTCAAATCTCTTCGGATGCAAGACTGAAAAGCATTTCACATTCATGTGTAATAGTAAAAGAATGAAATATGCTTTCAAGAAACCTCATTAACAGCTGCTATATTACATGAAGTGATAAATATAATGCTTTGTATATTCAAAACATGTATGTTTGCATATTATATATGTATATATATATTTAAAGCATGCCTCTTTCCCTTGTACTCAGTGTTTTCAAATATATATTGAGTTGTTACACTATCAAATGTTGGTAACATTTTCATGCCATACTTTTACGTATTTATATCACCAGTAGATCATATGAATTTCAATTTATAATACCTATCCTTAAAAATATTGTCCATAACTTGGTTTTACTCTGAATAAATCCAAAAGATATAAGTCATAGAAACATATTTGATTGGCACAGTACCTCATATACTCAAGTAAATTATTATTTTACATGATATTCTCTAATCTTTATCAGTCTTTATTATTTATTTTAACTTTTCTGCCATTTTGAATTTAACATTACTTGCAACAGATTTTATTACAATCCAGAGATCTTTGCCTTGATTATTATTTTTTTTTTTTTTTTTTCATTTTTTACATACTCTTTTAATGATAGAGCAGAAGTTTTCTGTTGAATTAATATCTGGAGAGGCAGTAGATGTGGATACTATTCTATTAATTTGGTTTTTTTGTGTCTCTTTTTTTTTTTTTTTTTTTTTTTTTTTTTTGGTGGGTGTTGGGGGCCAAGTGGGTGATCATCAGCTTTGCAGAATGCAAAACAACATTGTCTTGCATGACTATATTCTTTAGCTTGAAGCTTTTTGATTGGGACATATCCGATAGCTTAAGATAATTCTCTGAAATTATCTTGAAACCATCAACTTTGAAGAGAATGATAATTTTTTAGTCTACTAGCTCTGAACATTATACCGATCACTCGTTTTTAAGGCATTTTGGTTGACTATTTCCTTGAAGAACTTAACTTATTGCCCAGTCATCAGGTCTATTCAATGCAGTTTTCCATTCATCATTAAAAAATACTGTTGAGAAATTAATTTTCCTGTACATTTTTGCTAAACTTAAACATTTCTCTTTGTAATTTTTACTTAAAGGTATTAGTTAAATTCCATAAAAGCAATGTTCTTAATGATTAGCACCTTTTTCTCTCTCTGCTTCAACTGGTCACTTTCTTTTTCTTTCTTATTTTCCTTCTCATTTTTCTCTGTTCTTTTTTTTTTTATGACATTCTTAAAACCAACTTTTTTTTTTTCTTGTTCTGTTCACTTTGTTTTGATTGTTTTATGAGTTTTGTTCAAACCTTTTTGAATTTTCCTTTAATTTTAAAATATCTTGTTTGTTTTTTTGAGATTGCCATGGGTCATAAAAATGATAAAATCAGATATCAATAATCAATAAATCTATATAACTTAATTTACAATATGATGAGCAACTCTTGAGTTGCATCTGAAAATCTCACACCACCAAATCTTTGGAAATATTTTTATTAAATTAATGATATTTTTATTAAATCAATGATAAACATAGAAGGGCAAGTTTTTAACTTCCCCTTCTATGTTTATCATTAATTTGCATAATAAAATCTGACATAGTGTCTGTATATCTCCCATATTATGAGAGTTGTCTGTCAGTCATCAACTGAAAATCTCTTACTGATTGCAGCCCAACTGATGTTGTATTACTTAGCAATGATGAAAGACATTTCTAGTGTATTTTGTTTTCTAACTCAAAAGAGCTAGAAAGATGGGGTAAACCTCTTTCTGTTAATTAAGGCTTCTATTCTAAGCTCATTCACATCAGAGAAGCTGAAAGTTTTTATTTGTTTTTTGTTTAGTTTTTTCTGTTCACCCTTGTTTATGTTATATTTTGTCTTTTATAGGTTTCGAAGGTTTTCCAGAAGACGTTCCAGTCCAAGAAGCAGATCATCATCAGCATCAAGTTCACATTCAAGAAGACGAAGGAGTCGGTCAAAATCAGCAAATTCCTTAGGAATTGACAAAGTCAAGCTTCATGACATTGCCGTGTGAGTAGGAATGTTTTTTCTTTTTTTTTTTTTTTTTATTAGCAGTGTGTTGGGAAATTCACTGGCACAAGGATACAAATACTGAGGCTCTCAGTGAGCAATAAATTCAACATTGGTTTGGGAAACCTAGCTTATTAACATTTATTCTATGCCAGGTACTTATTTTGTATCTACAAATACTGCCGTAAAAACATTGCACAAAAGAAGGCCTGTTATCAAAGTATTTTGAGGTAGGGATTGGGACTTAAAAGAATTTGCATACTAAAATTAGTTCAAAGCAATTACGCACGTTTAAATGTTTAAAAGAGATGAAAAAAAAGTAATTTTAACCAAGGTTGAAGCAGTGAATGGCCTAGTTAAGACTGAAATGATTTGTACTCGCAAAGTGTTTTAATGGGTGTTAGTTTAGTTAGTGCTATGTGCATACATCTCAAAATGCCTTCTTCCATTGCTGCCACATAATTACATGAAGATGTCACCAGAAAAATGAAAAGTGATGCTGTACTAATCTCCCCATTGGGTGCTGTCTAGAAGTAAATTGATATTTGTGACAAAAACAATTCTAAATGTTTACCAAACAAAAATAGTTTATCTGATTTTATATTTTGAAATAAGAAACTTTTGGGAACATCTTTTTGTGATTTGTGATATAAAAAAAAAAAAAAAAATGATGCTTTTGAGTTGATTTTTTTTTTTTTTTTTTAATCATTCTTCTTGGGTTTCATATTTTCTGGTATTGTATGAATTTTTCCTTTGATAATGTCTGTTGTTTTTTTTGTTTTTTCGTTTTTTTTTTTAGAAAGAAACTGCTTGAATCTGGTCAGGCTCCCAAAGAGGAAGTTGCTTCATTACGAGCAGGGGGCAAAACTGTCCAAGGATTAATTGGTAAGTTTTAACCTGTTGGCAAATAACTTTCAATTTAGGTTTTCAAAATATGAATCATTGATATTATTGGCTAGAATTTTTCCATTTTGGCCAAATTTACACACACAGTGTGGACGTAGAAATCAACACTACATGGTGATTCAATTTAATGCTTCACCACTGTAATATTCAGTTACTATTCTTTTAGTAGGCTATACACACACAGTTTGTTTATATAGGTCACTAAAGGATTAATCTCTTGTTTAGTTAGGGCTAATGCTGGGAAGGGCCAGTTTTCTCTTCCACCACCTCCCTTCCCAGCATTTAAGCATTAGCCCTAAACAAAAACTGGGAAGAGCCGATTTCCTCCTCACTAACATTCTTTAATCCCCTAGTGACCTATATAAACAAACTGTTAACTATATATTTGTTTTTTCTATGTAGATGGTAGTGACACCTGCATTGAAGTGTGAAATTGTCAGGCATTATACACTGTCATTTCATGCCCCACTGTTTATATCCACAAATACTGTCTCCAATTTTGATCACTCTCCCCTTATAAATATAGCAAATTTTGATCACTCTCCCCTTATAAATTAGCAAATTTTGATCACTCTCCCCTTATAAATATAGCAAATTTGGATCACTCTCCTCTTATAAATATAGCAAATTTGGATCACTCTCCCCTTATAAATATAGCAAATTTTAAACAATATTTATAATGTGAATGCATGTGGCTATTCTGTATATATAAATTCACTAATTATTATTATTTTTTTTTTTTTTTTTTTAGTAATTTTGATGGATCAATTGTTTATGATTAAAATAACGAAAACAATCACATCTTTTATACCTTGGAAGCAGAACTAAGACAAAAGCAAATCAGATTATAATATTAAATGTTGACAAATTGAAATGCTTTGTTGCTGTTTTTTTCTGGTGCATGTCAACAACTGATGCTGCTCTTGTTAACACTGAAATAGTAGCAATAGGTCAGCGTGATGATGAGGCAGGAAATTTGAAATGATACAATGCAAACTGATGTGCAAATTAGAAAAGAGAACCTGACTCCAGGTGATCAGCCTAGAAATGATCACCTTGTTTAAATAGTGTTTTTTTTTTCTTGGACTTTTTTAATGAAAATAATTTAATATTTTTGTTACTATTTAGTAGTAATCTAAATATATCTAAAAATCCACTTTCCCAAATCAATTAAAATAGTTATTGATCAGAACTGATGCTTTTTACTTGGTACATATTCATAACTTTGCTCATTGCATCACTTTAATCAGATACTATGTTATTGATGCTGAATATCAGCATTGGTATTTCCATTCCAGACTCACAAGCTGCACACTTGTGTTATGTGCAGAGTGTTATAGCCCCTTGATTTTATTGTTTTTTGCAAGTAATCGGTTCCAATCATTGATGATCTGCAGTTTCTTTAAGAATATTTCTTAGGCCAATGCTGTCATTCTCATTTTGTGGATTTAAAACAAATTGACTATTTTAATTGTTTTACAAAAAACTCTCAAACTGAATACCAGTCAACAATTTGTTGTTGTCTTTCCTTTCGCTAATTAAAGTATCAAGTCAGTCGTTTTGAAATGTCTTCAATTTTTAATTGATTTTTGTACATCTTTCAATGATTTGTTTGTTTCTCTGCAGATTATTGTAAAAGGATCTCTCAGAAGGAATTGGAATCGGACTCTGGTGATTCCACACAAGCAGCGTTGAAATCTGATGATGATGATGATGAGGAAAGTCCTTTTATCCATCATCCATTCAGATTAAGAGAAACCCAGCCAAACATTGTTCTCAACATTAAAGTAAGTTGAAAGAACTTCTACTATTTTTGTTCTTTCTACTAGCAAAGCAGTTTAGGTGAGGCAGCCTTTTCACACTTGTTTTTGGATCCTTATGTCTCCATTATTTTATCTTTTCATAATTCTTTTCTTTTTTGGGGACTTAAAAATCAAGCCTAGTCAATTTTTGAAACATTATATTTATAACTGTTAACGCTTTTTCTACCACCTTCCTCGACATCCTAGTTATGTTGATTTGCCGTGAAGAATTCTAGTTGGCGAATAATAATTTTTGAATAGTTTGCACGACCGTTATGCCATGCCAATACTTCATAAATAATGGACTATTCCGTCTTGTTTGTGTGGAAAGGGGGGGGGCATTACTTGGTTTCAGTAAGAAAACGACAAAAAAAGGGAAGATGAAAATTAAGATAGAATCAGATTAAGCTGATAATGAACAGGCACTACTTAGATCTTCGCCAAAAGGCCAAATAGCAATGATGACTTTGGTAAATAAAACGCTATTTTTCATTGGCACAGTATCAAACAAAGGAAACCAACTAAGGCAACTGCCAAAAATCTAGTTACCATAAATAAAATAACATTGTCTGCTGAATTATTTTAAAATTATTATTAAAAGAAATATTCATAAGACTGGGGTTTGACACAGGTTTGGAAATTCTTGCAAAAAATCAAATAATTGTCAGATTTTAATGAAAAAAAGAAGGGAATATAGAAATGTTTATGGTCTCCTGACAATGCATAAATAATGGACTATTTCATTTACATTGCGTGAAAAAGCTAAACACATATCAGAGACACTATTTGATTTCAGTGAGAAAATGAGTGAAAGAAAGAAGGGGAAGATAGAAATGTTTAATGGCTGTTTCAGTGAAGCATTCATATTTATGATTGTTATTGCAATATTTTGTTAAAGCTGTTAAGCTCAAATATTTAATGATGTGATAGGCAAATTTCTATGGATATTTTATTGTTGTAAAACTTGCCATGAGCTTATTCAATCATTAACTGAAGAATTAAGATTCATCAAAAATTTAAAATAGGAAAACCATGAAATTTTCACAGGTTAAAACTAGTAAATATTATTGTCTTTGGCTAACTTTTTGCAATTTGTAAAGAGCATAATATAGCATCTATTAATAAGGTGACTGCAATAATGGTGTACATTTTTATTCTTTATGTCTTTCGTTCTTCAGTTGCGTGGAGAGTAAAGTTTTTTACCCTCTTAGTATAGCTGAAGCAAATTTTTTTCTTTTCTCAAAATAATGTTGATAATTTTTAAATTGCAGCTAATTAGTTGATTAAAAAGATAGACGGACTAACACCATATTCTTATACTTAGTTTTTAATCAAGATGTCTGGTGATTGAACAGGCCGTAATAAATTATGATATTTGACCATGTTATGTTTTTATTATACTGAGTGCAAAGACTGAAGTATTTTGTTTTGGTTTTAAATGAAGTTTGCTATTTAACTTGCTTGGGATTTTTAAAAAAATGAATAAATTATTTTTCTCTGAAGTGAGTCTTGGTGACTAAACTTTTGAAATTTCATTTTTGGGTTATAAGTTGGTTACTTTACTCTCAGATAATATTATTCTTTATTTCTTTCCTTTGTTGTTAGAATGCCAAACCATTGCCAGTGTTAACCCCTCAAGAAAAACTGATCCAATCATCCACCCTCCGGCTGCAATTCCCAGTGTCCAGTGGCAGCCAACATCGTGCCAAGGAATCACAGTGGGTTCCTGTACAGAAAAACTCTGCTTCAACCACATTGTTTGCTGCAGAAGAATCTGTTTCCTCCTCCACTGGTTCCAGCATTCAAAGTACGGCTGCTGCAGCTGCTGCTTTCACATCTGATGGTGGCCTACCTTCAGAGGCATCTGGCCCAGTCTCAAAGACAATAACAGCAGGAACAAACCTTGCAGCACCTGTTCTTAATTCCCAGACTATTGAAAACAAATCCAATGGTGACAATGTATTTCCTGATACGCTCCAACAGGTAAGATGGCTTCCTACTTTTACATTTTTTTTGTGTGTGTTTTACTGCTTTGATTTCAGGCCTATTTTGAGAAACGTGTCTTTTAGAAAATCCAAACATCTACTATAAAACTGGGGAAAATTGAAGGATTTAGCTGAAGTTTTAGTTAGTAAAGATGAAAATATTTAGCATTTTCTTTAGTCAAACTGATCCCAGTTCTATGATTATCTTTTAATTCAATGAAAAAAAACAAAAAAAATGGTTGATTGAAAATTTTTGAATCTGATGCTATAGAGCATTTTTGTATATTTGTATTTATTACATATGGACACACAAAAATCAAAATTATAGTTAAAAAATATTTTGATAAACAAGATCCATTTTAGCTTGGCTTCAAGCATTTTGTCTTCATTATTAGGGAGTTTTATTTGTTTCCAAAAATTCTCCTTATATTTTATTCTATTTAAATGATACTCACATTGACATTTGAGGTTGGTTTTCACTTGTTAAGATAGTATAACTATGAAAAATTCTTGTATGATACACTTACATTTTTAAAATAGCACCCAAGATACCGTTGGACATGAAGAAGCTCAGGAAGAGACACAAAGAACCAGAATGATTACATAACTATTGATAAAAGGTTCATAAATGCAGTTCTATACTGCAAAACATACCCAAGTGCAATTGTGTACTACATCAGAGTAAAACTATGTAAGCTAAAGAAGACCAAACCAACATCTAAGCTGCAATACTGCAAACTCCTGAACGGCCCATGTTACTAGGAGATATACAAAAAACAAGTACATCCTGAATGAGACAACAAAATCAAAGTGGAACATGGGGATGAAAATACTAATGATGTTGCAAATGAGATCATTTGAAAGAAAACTAGACAAGAAAGGAACAAAATGATGACTGAGGAAAAGTGACAACAAACAAGGCCAAGGAAAGGAAAAGAGTATTGAACACTAGGCACAGAAACTAAAAACAAATGTAGGCAGGCTAAAGAGGAATGGATCAATGAAAAATATGAAGAAATAGAAGAAGCAAGTATGTAAAAGAATAAAAGAATTAACAGGAATAAAGGCGAGTCAACCAAAAGTCTATAAAAATCAAAAAAAGGATCACTGATAATAGAAAAAAAAAAAAATACTCCAAAGATGCAATAAGTCATAATGCAAAAGAGAAATGTATAGTGGAAAATACAAAATGGCCAGAAATATGGAAAGCTAAAGTAAGATCAGCCCTGGAGAAGATGAACAGGAACAATACAGCAAGGACTGATGGGATTGTAACAAATGCTCACAATCTTAGCATCAACAAAGTAATAAATGGTAGCAAGATTCCGGAGGACCTCAGTAAATCTATTTTGGCAGCATTATCTAAAAGACCAGGTGCAAGAGCTCCATTGGACAATCAGTTTAATGAGCCAGATTAACAAACTAATGATTTGACTCCTGATGAATAGAGTGCACAACAGAATTAGACTGGAAATAGGACAAGAACAGTGTGAACACTGGAACAAGAAATGTGATATTCGTGATTAGAATGATATCAGAGAAAGCAATACAAATACTGAATGATGTGCACTCCTGCTTTATAGATTATGCAAAAGCATTTGACTTGAACTGCTAGGAAAACTTGATCTATTTGGAAAAGATGTTAGAATAATCCAAAACTTGTACTGGGAGCAAACTGCCTGAGTACGGAAAGGAAAGGAAATAATAAAATGGTGTGTGTGAGACAAGGATGTATCTTCTTCCCAGATTTATTCACCCTCTACAGCAACACTAGCCTAAGGAAACTGGAGACCTTACCAGAATTTATTATTGGTAGTCATAATGTTAATATAAGATACTCAGATGTGACTGTTGATAGCTGACTCAAAAAGATAACTACAGGACCTTCTAGACAATTGCAGAAAGTGAGGGAAAAAGACTGACCATTAACAAGACAATGTTTGGTCATCAGCAAACAAAAAAGCCCAAGATGTGAATTACGAATTGGAAACGTTAACATCAAGCAAGTACAGAAGTTTAAATATTTGAGAAGTGCTTTAAAAGAGGTTGGAAAATGTGACACCAAGATTTGAAGTACACATTGGAAGAATGAAAGAGGCATTCCAAAAATCAAGCAAAGTTCTGAGAAATGGAAAAAAAAATCATCAGAGACTAATTCCTAGTGGTTATAATATTACGTCTTGCTTAGGCACTTGCTGTTATGAATGTTAGAAATTCTTCTAGCTGATTCCAACTGACTATGGCATTTGGAATGCCATATCTTGCAAAAAAGAGTTGTAAAAAATTCATTGTAAGTTGGTTTTTTGCATTTAGAAATTTCAGACCACTTAGTAAAACTATCCACTACCACAAGATAATGTGATCCATTTATTGGACCTATGAAATATATGTATAGTCTTGACCATGGAATATGTGTCTTTGGCCAAGATTGTAATTTCATGGTAGGTGATTTTGCTGCATATTTTTATGGATGAATGTTTCATGTGATGAGCTGTTATGTTTCCAGGAACCTTCTGTTTTCCTATATATATATATATATATATATATATATATATATATATATATATATATATATATAATATATATTTATTAGCCTTGGATCTTACATTAGCTTGATATATTGTTAGTTTGTAGGCAGTTACTGTTTATTGGGCATTTATAATAACAACTTTGAGTATTTATTTTTCTGGTTAGCAAAGCCCAAATTACACTTCTCTGAGGCTGTATGGTTAACAGCATATCTGGTCAAATGATAGTTTTCATGAGGGTTACATATTTTCTACAAAATTTCTCAAACATTCAGGCTGGTAAATGTAATTGATACTGTTTAATTAAAAAACAGAGCATTTACTTAAATAAATTATATCTATAAAATAACATATAAGAAGGAAATTTATTTTATTTATATATATGTTTGTGTGTGTGTGCATATATGTATGTGCGTGCATATATGTATGTTTGTGTGTGTGCATATATTTATGTATGTATGTGTATATGTGTCTGTGTGTATATTTATGTGTGTGTGTGTGTGTGTGTATATTTGTAAAGGAAAAGCAAAGAAAAGAAACAATCTTCAAACACAGCTTTATAAATTTAAATCATTTTTATCATTGGGTATAAAAGCAGTCTTTGTTTTTGCAAACAAAGTTCACCGAAAAATATTTTGTTTTTCTTTTTTACAATACAACAGAAATGAATTGTGTTAGTGAAAAGATGCATGCGGCTACTTAACATGAGAATCACATAGTTGCATTGTTTTATGTATGAATGTAAACAACCAGTACTATATAGTCATTACTGCTAATATTTATTTGTTTACATATTTTCATTCATATATATTTTTTGTGTTTTATAATTTATCAGCTTTATACAGTATAAGGACAAAATTTGTCATTGTAAATAATAATAATAATAATAATGATGATGATAAAAATGTTGTTTTTATTATCATTTCATAATGCATGTGTAATTTGCTTTTATTTATTTCAAGTTCATTTTTGCTGATTTTTTGCAGACTGTGGATATTAGTCAAGTGATGACTGAACGAATGCTTGCTGTCCAAAAACTGCAGGAAAATCCCAATGATGTTCAAGCACTGAACGTTATGTACAAAGCACAACAAGAAGTGAGTAATATTCAATGATAAGTTCTCTCTTCATCTGACTACATGCCTTATAAAGACCAAATTGCTTAAAAATTCTTTGAAATCATAATTCTTTTCATACATTCTGTCTTGACATATTGTATCTACTCCAATCAGAAATGGATAGGATTAATAAAATTTTGGAGTTGATATTTTCTTTGTTTTTACTGACTGATTTTTTTCAGTTCTTTGGTGAATGATTGATTTGCAGGTGGAAAATGGAACTAGTGAGCTGGGTCTGCTGCATTCACCTTTGCACTAATGCTCTTGAGGAAAGGCATGTCTTTTCTCTCTCCAGCTATGGAAAGTACTAGGGAAGGATTAGCCATTAATTATAAGAAAATCAAATACATAATTTACATTATTACGTGCAACTTTTGTTATCACATTTCAGCTGTTGTGCCCTCTGGCCTTCATCAGGGTCTATGCTAATCTGGATTACCTACCTTTTATTTAATCTACTTACTTACTTCTCTTCTCATTTATTAGTTAAAAGCAGGGCTGCTTGATTTCTTTTTGTCGAACAGCAACACCATGCCAAAAAAAAATCTGCTTTGAATCATAAAAAATGCAATATAAAATTACGACATTATTTTATTAAGGAAGCTTAGTTGCTTTTAGAAATAAGATACATTAAGGACACTATTGTCTTAGGAAAAAAAAATTTCAATGAATTTTTACCAGAATTGTTTTCAGTTTTTTAAATTTTAATTAGAAATTAGTTCTAAATATTTTAAAATTCTGTATTAATTTGAGCCATTTAGATTATTATTAAGTGAAAACTATATTTACTAATCATAAATGGTAAATCTTAATATCAGTCATTAAACACCAAGATTTTTAAAAGAATTTTGAATTTTTTTATGTATATAAAATATTATGTAACATGTCCATTTTTGAAGGTATGGTCAATCATATACAATATCAGAAAATAAAGAGTGATGACGTTAAGAAATTTAAAGTCAACATTCCTAAAATTAGATCATGGAGAATATTTTCTAGCAAGTAAAAATTCTATAAAAAAGTGCTCATGTCATTTTCTTAAATTATGTTTTACATATGAAGTCTCTGTAGAACAACAATCGGTCATCACCTTATAAAACACATAAACATGTCAGTTAAAAACACTGCTACTGTTTGCTTAAAAAATTAATTTGTGCGGTATCTAAAACTTAAGTAAATAATATTTGTTTCAAATCAGATTAATTATACTTTAAATTGGCTAATATTCCTCAAATAAAGTCTCAGAAAAGTATATATTATTTTTAAAATATATTTAATAAAGAGAATTACATTGCAATGAAAAACAACTAAAAAGTTGGGCTAATCAGCTATTTTAAAAAAAAAAAAAAAAAAAATATATTTCAATCAATATAATTTCTATTTGAAATACACCAAAGTATTTTGCTTACTGGAAATAGTAAATTTAATCTTTTAGCTTTCAATTAAATCTGAAATGAAAGCTTCAAGAATGCTTTTTTTTTTTTTTCATTTTTAATAATTCATTTTAAACCTTAGGTATTGCAAATTAGTGGAGGTCCCTAATATAATTTAAATAAATTATTACTTATTATTTTATTAATTTCCTTGGAAAAAAACTAAATAAGTTAAATTAACTAGGCATGCTAATTATCATTTAGTCTAAATGACACAAACAAAATATCACAAAAAATTATCAAATTAGCACAACAGTTACTGTAAACTAAATTAGGTTTACAATATTCATTTCAAATCTGATGGTATGAACCCATTGATTGGCAATGTGAAAGAACATCAGAAGAAAAACTATATTATTGACAATGTTTGTATTTCCAGTCCAAATCAGATCAAATATGAACCAATAACAATTACTGTAATTATAAACATATTCTGACTGACTGCAGATATCACGTATCTACATCTATGATTTATTTAAATAATTAGAAGTATTTAACCAGTGTGCATAACACAATAATTGCTGCTATTAATGACTCTACAAAGTTTGAAAAAGAAAGCAAAACAAATTAGTTGAAGAAAATAAAAAATAATTAAAGCAATTAGTAAACACTGTATTATATCTTTGCAAACAAGGGCAAAGGTAACCTAGGCATTGCATGGGTGGGACGAGAGCAAAAGTAGCCTCAGCATTTTATGACTTTATGATGTAAATAATGATAAAAATGTGTCAGAATTGGTTGGTGTGATAGAAATTGTCAGTATTTGAAGGATGCTTCAAATAGGTTAAACAAACATACAATGGATGGCAGCTGAACAAACTTGAAGACATGAAAATTGAAGGAAAAAGAGGTTAAATATGATGATTTCATTCATTGTGATGCTCATTAATTTAGATTTGAGTAGAAGTTTTGAAAAAGGTAATGGAGTTAAAATCTAACCATTATCTTAGGAATTAAAAAATATGAGAGACGGGGGTGTGAATGGGGCTAAAGAATGGTATCTTGACATGACTGGTTGAGGATTTTGGCTTCCTAAGAACAATATCTCTTCCTAGCCCAGTTAGCTTAATATAGAATTGGTTTTGTTTTAGTTTTTAAATTAGTTTAACTTGACAAAATGTACAATCAGTTGCCTCCCTTTTATTGTTCTTTTCGTAATCCACACCCCCAATTTTTCACTCCCTCCCTCCACTCCTGTTAGATTACAGAAGGTAAAACTTTCCATGATGTAGAAAGGTTTCATTTTATTATTTATTTTATTTATTTTGGGCCAGTTAATTTGCTTTTTCAGCCATATTAGACAATGAAGAGAGTGACTGACACATTTTTATATCTGTAAATATTCAATGTAAATATTTTTTGTGCCATTTCAAATCAGATGGGGGGGTTTGTTTTTGTTTGTAATTGTAAATCTGAATCTTTCATCTTTATTCCTTTCCCAATTTGAATTGCAAATATGAGTATTAGAATTTTCATCAATGTGAAATTTTGCATGAAAGATTTTGAATAAATGTGAAGTTATAGTGAAAAGAAATAAAGAACGGTTGGAACAAGCTAAATTAATGATTATGATTGTAAAAGCTAGCAACATTCCCCCCACCTTCTATTTTTGACTTTCTGTCATTTTTTTTTTTTTTTAAATACTATATAAATAAATATTATTGTTTTATTGTTACCAACTCAAGCAAGTCACTTGGTTTTCCAAGTTAATTTAATCTTCACATAGAGAGAGAAACATTACATGATGGCAGCTGAGTTATCTAAATACAAGAAAAAAAAAAAAAAAAAAAATGACATTTAAACCACTAATGGATTTTTGGCTTTTCAAGGCCAAAACTATGGCCTTCAACAATTTTTTTTAATACTAAATTGCCTCCAAATTAAATAATGTAAACTTCGAAGTTCAGGTTAATGATCTTATTTATTCTATGGATACCAAAGCCAAGCAAATATATCACATTTTCAACATGTGAGAAAACTGACTCACCAGAAAACCAATTCAACAATTCACATGTATATTTAACAGCCATTTAACCTTTAGAGGAAGCATAACTCACAAGAGAGTTGTGTTTTACCAATGTAGTCAACAACCTGACAAAAATGTAGAAACATAGATTTGTTTACTGTATAAAACAGCCAAAAACAAAGACTTTCAGGATAAGGAATGTCTAATTCAAGACACACTAGTTGTAGGATTGAAAGACAGAGTTGTGAGAAAAACAAATATGCGAGAAAAAAAATCCAACTCAAGTCTGAACTAAATGTTACAATACAAATTGCTCATCAGTATGAGCAAATAAAAACTTAAAAGTTAGAGTAACAGCCTTTAACTCTCAACATGGCACAAGGCAATTCCAAAATGTCTGATCATGTCTGGAGGGAAAAAGGTAGTCAGTAAAACCCTGTAGAAGGAAGAGAAAAGACAATACAAGGAAGAACACTAGAGAGTTTGAAGTCTAAAAGAATCAGAGTAGATGTTAGACTATGAGGTTCTCCTTAGTAGGCTTAGCATAGAAATAAATACAATATGGGAGCGACTAATGAAGAAAAATAAATAACAGGTCCTCAACAACATCAGCAGCAGCAGCGGTAACAAGAGAAAAGTCTCAATGAATGCAGCCAAACATGACAAGCAGGAGCACTAAACAGCTTTGTTCAACAGGAAGACATTGGTTCATGAATTTGGTGAAAGTAATTCTAAGTTCAATCTCTGGGCTGGGCAGTGTACTTGGAATCTGTGGAAATGGGGTAAGCAATAACTGAGCAGTATTAAAAATAAGAAAAAAAGGTGCTATAGTAATCTCCAGCCCACTGTTGATACAAAAAAAAAAACAAAACAAAAAAACAAGAAGATTTTTAGCCAAAGTTTTGAACATGCTAGAAAGGATTAAAAAATTTAATAAAATAAATAGAAAAATATTTGACCTCTTAATAATAACAAACATTTTGACAATAAAATTTTGTTTTTATTATGTTTGGGGCATTATTTTCCATCATGCTATGCTGTTCTTTCAGCAAATTAGTGGAGGTGTCTAAGTTTATAGTATTTAGCTTTGTTGAAAACATTCCAAGGAAATTTATTAATAAAATGATAAGTATAGTTCATTTAAGTTATAGTAAAACTAATTATAACAAAGAAATAAATAGTATTTTAATGAAGTATGATATGATTAAAATCATAATTGATTATGTTTCTAATTGTACTTGAAACAAAGAGATTTTTATGTGAAATGTAGACTTTTATTGGTTTTTACATTAGGGAGAATGATGTAAAAAGTTTGAGACAATTCTTCATCACTGTCTAAATACAAGAGTGAAAACAGGAGAGTGTTGTTTAAATTTACAGCTGTTTAGCAAATGGTGTTTACTATTCAGGGCTTAGAGTTTGTTTGCCTCAATGGGTTGTGCTAAAATTCAGAGATCCCAAGTCACTCAATGTTAAAAAAAATATATATATTAAGTCAAGCTTTGTGAAATTATATATGTTGAAAAATAGTAAATTAAAACCATTAGAAAAGGTTCAAAGGTCATTCTTAACAGTTTGGATCCAAATTTGTTATCCCGACTCTCATGTTATCAAAATAATATGAACCCCTAAGTTTGTTTATTAGGTTCTCTGGGCTGAATTGAATTTCTCCAAGCTTGCCACAACAATTTTTGTTTATATAACATTATGATTATGAACTGTATATTTCAGTCAACCCTTAAAGTTATGACGTTGAAATAAATCTATATACCTTGAAAGGTTATGAATTAAAATCACTCACATATTTTTATTTTTAAAAGTGCGGATTGAAATTTGTCAGCCTGAGTCATGAATTATTATAAGAATAAACAAATAAATATTTTGTTCTACTGAGAACATTGCATGTTGGTTTGAAATTAACTTGACAGTTGGCTTACTTGAGCTGAGCCCAAGTGATCAAGTTACCACTGTGATATATATATTGTGTCTAGTAACTTAGTTTCCTCTTCGTCACTGCTAGCCCAGTGGTATGATGCTTGAGTCATATTATAATGGACTGGGTTTGATTCTCAGAGTTGGTAGAGGATGCACACTGCCAATGAGTCCCCCAAAAAGAAGAAACAGTCATCCAGTGCTTTCCTGCACATGTGTGTGTGTGTGTATTGAGGATTCTAGGTCTAGACATGATAAATTATTATGAAATGTATATATGTTTGTTTTCTTGAGTTGTTAAGAATATAGTTGGTAAGCGTGAATAAATGTAGTTAGTTCTGTTTTTGCAGTTCATACATATATATATATATATATATATATATATATATTTTGTAATTGTTTTCAATGGAAAACCCTGCTTAATCATTTTGCTATTTTTTTACTTCTACCTCTATTTCTTTACGCTTAGGTTAACCGATGGGCTCAGTCAAAACAGCTCCCAGGTCAGTTCACTGGAAGCACAGGGGCTAAAGTCATGACACAGGAAGAACTCAATGGACCTGACAAAAGATTCCAGGCCTGGGCCAAAAAGGTAATGCAGGCTTTGATCAAGTGGACTCACTCTTTCTTTCTTTATTTCTTTTTTTTTTTTTTTTTTTTTCTGTTACCGATTTGAACCTGACCTGTTTCTTTCCCTCAAAAAAAAAATGTCCCTTTCTCCCCCTCCCCCTTTTTTTTATTGGTTCTTTTTGTTTTTGTATTTGTTTTGCTCCATCTCTATATAGGTAGTTGAGAATTACTTCAAAAGAAATGATTCCATTTTTTTTTCCCCCCTCCTTGACCTCTGATATTTTTAACCTTTGACTTAGCATTATTGGTTGGGAAGGAAACTCAGATTTTTAAAATGAGCTGAAAAATAGACCAATTTATGAAAATTTCGTCCTCCACTTTTTTCTTCTTTTTAAGGAAAAACAGGTTTGGCAAATGGACATCTGATAATCCAGATCTCTGACACTGGACACAGATGCTTTTCTTTAGAAATTATAACCAAATTTCTTTAGAAAAATGATTTAAAATAAATTCTTATAATAATTACAAAAAAAATATTATTTTTGCCATCGAAATAGAAATTGAAATATTTTACTAAAACTAAATAAAATAAAATTTTTTAAATTGATTCCTTCTGTGTTGATATGTTATCCATAGACTCACTGTTAAAAGGCCTTGTATTATTATATGTTGGAAATGAAAGGTTATTTTCAATGCAGAAGTGTTGCTTATGTCATAATCATAAAGTTTTATGGCATGTTTGAAGACCTGTTCCAAAGGAGCTACATGTAAATATCTGTAGTTGTAAATTCCTGAACTTTGCAGAAATTGGTCTGTGATGGCATTTGTTCTCCAGAGGTGGAAATTTCTCTGGGGAGATACAGATTTTTTTTTTAATTTTGTAATCAAAAGAAAACATTTTAACCTGAATCCTGAATCCTTTCTTTTGAGAGTTTTTCTCTCTAAGTTAAAAAAAAAAAAATCTTTGATTGCAATGAAATCTGTTTGTCAATTTTGATTCTCTTTTATTCCTGCTGCTGACATTTTCTATCAAATATATGTGTGTGTGTGTGTGTGTGTTTGTCTTTCTGATTTGCATTTGTGAATCTGGGTGTGTTTCCTCAGTTTAAACACAGGAGGCAGTGATATATGTAAAGACAATCTCAGACAGGAGATTCTTTCAAAAGTCAGTTTCAAAGAACATCTGGCTTGCAAAAATGGTTCTATTCTTAAACTATCTTTCTTTTTAACTGTGAGTAATTTTGGATTTAGAGAATGTCTTATTTATTTTGGGATAGAAATAGTTTCTGAACTATTGTTACAAAAAGACTTGCTTGTATTCAAATCTAGATAAGATTTAAAGTGTTTATACATTTAGTGGATGGAAGGAAGAAGAGACTCATTATCTTTGTAGGCTTTCAAGATTGGGCTTTTTATAAAAGAAAGAAAAGTTTAATTTCACAAATTTCAGCTATTTGTTGATGTAAAAGTTTTATTTTGGACTCTGAAGCTTTTCTTTTTAGTTATTTAATTTTGTGGTGTTGCATTCTAACGGTTCTGGCTTTGTTAGTGCTTAGTTTTTCGAATACTTCAGATGTTTTTAGGAAATTGCATGCATTTCTCATCAAATGCAGGAATTTCCAAAATACATTGGAGAAACTTCAAGCAGTTTAAACAAAAGACTATATAAACACAAAAGGAACATTTTAAATTTATTTTAATATTTAATTTTAAAAATCAGCATTTCAGTGGAATTAGTCATTCATTTAAATTAGAAAAAAAACGAAAAACAATTGTGTTGGAGACAAGCGTTGGGGCATCAGTTATCTGATGCAGAATAAGCGGGTCAGCAGTTGTTTAATGAGGAAATCTAAAACATTTGTTAATGAAAATGATTTCTTCAAATTTTTCATTGCTTTAAAAGTTTGTATTTTAATATCTTCTCTTGAGGAAATGCAAATGAAGATATATTTGATGTCTCAACATATATGCAAGAAAGTCTAGATAATAAGAGTGGTTGGTGAGAAACGAACGTATTTTTTCAAATTTTCTTGAATATTTCATGACTTTTAATCATGAAGCCGAGTAAAATTTGGCATTTAACCATTGTTAGTCTATTTTTTAAATATTTCTGTTTATTTAAAGTTGTTTGAAATTTCTTTCTATTATTTTGTAAGAACAGAATTTTTTCTTGTTTTTTGGGCATTTCAAAAAGTTTTCTTCATAGTGATTTTAAAAAGAAAATTGCTTATCTTTCCTTTTTCTGTTTTCTTAACAATAACAAAACATCCACTTCAAATTATTTCTCCTTTATTTGTAATATGTTTGAAGGAACAAGTCACTATTAAAATTGTAGAGATTAAAATGTCTTGCTTGGCCATAAATCCTAATGTAATAGATTTTTGATCTGAAAATATTCTAAGATCAGTATTGTTCTTATTTTATTTTTTAAGTTAATTCTATTTTCTCAAATCAATTTGAAACAACAAATGAAGACAAATTGTTGATTTCTGATGCTTAGTTAGATTCAAGAACTAATTCTGCTGTGAGTTGATAATATTTGCCTGATTTGTGTTCCTTTCTTCTGTGACATCTCTTTCTTCTTAGGATGCTTGTGAAACCTTCAAACAACAATAGAAATACCATTATTAGTTTGAAAAAAATTGAATAGCATTAGGTTTATTTATCAGAGAAATTATATATACGGGGTGCGATGGATAAATTGTCGTCTAAATGCTGCAAAAAATGAAATTAATGCTGACCTCTCATTTTAACAGATATATTTACCAAAATTGCACAAAAATATCTTGGAATACTAAAGAGTAAATTTATTCAATAAAATCGCCATTGGCTTCAACCATGTTTTCCAGACAACTTTGGAATCTCCTGCAACTCTTCTGGACAGTCTCCTTTTTTAAGTTGGTGAATGCTGCCATAATCTTTGTCTTCAGCTCATCTTTGGTGTTACAAGGAATTTTGTTAGTCTCAAACTCAACCATGCCCCACACATAATAATCAAGGGGGTTGCAGTCTATCTGACTGGGTTCTCCTGCTTGTATGGCATGGTGCAGAGGCTTGTTGCCAGACATATGGTCTTTCAACAGCCACCTTCTTGACCCAGAGCAGCACTACCTCCTCAAGACACTTGATGTAGGCCTCCATGTTGGGTCTGAGGCCCTGTAGTAAGATGAACGGAAGCATAGTGTTGCCATCACTAGTGGTCACTCCAAACATCTTTGTAATCACCATTAAACTCATTCCAAATACTTTGCACAGTCCTCAGATTGATGCCCAAACATTCTGAAATTTTTGTATTGGAGCTTCCAAATGCCAAGCAGTATAGCATGCCATTTTCAAATTTCTGGTGGAGTGAATTGTGTCATTGTGCTCTTTTTCTTAGATGGCACCCAGCTGACCCTACTATACTGTGTAGTTAACAAAATCAAAAACAAACAATGTGTATGTGCAAAATTAAAAATATAAAATGGCAACAGTTTACCCATCGCACCCTATGTATGTATTGTGTGTGTGTGTAATATGTATGTGTCTGTGTGTATATATAAATACATATATAATCTCAAAGAAAACTGTTGGCATTTTGCTGTTGGCTTTGTATTTGAGCTTGCAAAAAGCTTGCAGCAATTTTGCATTTCCGCTTAAAGATTTTTCAAAAAAAATCTTTTGCTACTTCTAAATTCTAGGCTTCTACATTGTGTGCTTGTTTATATCTAGATTCGTAAACTGTTCACTGCCTTTAATGTCTCTTGCCTGGATATTTGGTTCTGTTGTGTTCACGTGTGTGTGTGTATGTGTGTGTGCCAACAGTGCATGTTACTATGAGATGGAGCAGGGCAAATACATGAACCATGTCTTAGTTACTTTTTCAGGTTTTCTCTGTTGGTGTTGTGCCACTCGCTGCTCGTTGAGTTGTCTCCCCTTGATTGGCCGCAGCCCTAGTCGTAGCAGCCGTAGTGGCAGCAGCAGCAGCCGCCGCCACCACCGCCGCCGTCGCCTCTTCCTCCACCACCATGGCACGTCACCGGGCCCCAGATCATTCATAGTGGGGATCATCGTCGATCGTTTTTGCTGACCTACCCCCCCTACCAGCACCAGAAGGGATACCGTAGCAGTCCCAACAACAGTCGCCGCCACTACAGTATCATCAATTTGGATTCAAGGTGGGACTGACATTGTGTTACCAAGGCAACTGGCATATTGTTTCCCCTCTCTTGAATGCCCTTCTCTTTTAAACTTATTGGTTATGAAACAAAAGCAAATAGAAATAATTCGATGACTTTGTCGCTTCAATAATGTACACCTGGGCATGTGTTGATGTTACAAGTCAAAAGTAATCGTTACCTTAGAGGTCTGTCCTGTTTGGGTTCCTTTTTGTTTTAACACTTTTCTTGCTTTCAACATGTATGGATGTACATAAGTGAAATGATAAAGTTACATTGGATGTATTTTATTATTTTTTGACTCCCCTGATGTGGATAACTTTACAATTGATTTAAAAGTTAAATCAATTCCTTTTAAAAAAAAAATTGATTTGTAATTTGACTGCTTGAAGAAAAGTAGAACTGTTTCTTTGGATATTTCTGGACAACTGTTAATTTATATGATTTGATAACATCACATGTACTCTCAAAAAAAGTCTAATGTATTTAAACCTTTTTTACATTCATCACAAATACTATCTGGATTAAATATGAAAGCAAATTACCTGTTGTTTTTGTGTTTATCCACAAAGTTTTGATAGTATTTGAAAAAAGAATGTTTATTTTTGTTGTTTATTTTTTTTTTTTGTGTGTGTGTGTGTAGAGTTGATTGATATCAGCTGATTGTTTATAACAAATGCAACTGAAAAAGAAAATAATGATCTTACTTTCTTTGCTCACAAATTTTTTTAATATTGGATAAATGGTGTTTTAATAGAAAAGAATTTCAGCAAAGTTTAACAAATGTAGCCACTTAAAAATGGCTGGTCAAAAGGACAGTTTTCTTAACATCACTATTACTGTATACTCCCTTGGCAATTTTGTTTGTTTTAAAACGCTATTTATAGACTTTTAATAAAACCCAAGCATATGAAACTGGATTTAAGCATTCTCTTTGTTCTCAAGAATTGGCAACAAAAGTATTAAACACTATCTATTTATTAGCTTGTTTATTTACCAGAATAATTTTGCATTTACAAGATAATATGTGAACCAACTATAATGCAATATTTGTCATTTACTAAAAAGAAATAATTATGAAAACAAGATTTTTTTTATTTGCAAATATATAAAAATGTTTGAAAATTTTAAAAAATATAAAAAATTTAAATAAAAAAAATAATTCCCCATTTTACAATCAACATATAATAGATGACCTCTCCAAATTTTGCAAAATGAAAACAAAATAATGTCGAGAAAAATGAATTTTTGCAAAATTTATAATTGCAGTTACTTAGTTTTGTGTTTATTTAAGTATTCTTATTTTGTAGTTCATAGACATTTTAGTAAAATTTCGAATAAAAAAAAAAAAAAAAAAATTATAGTGATTTCTTTATTGTTGGTTCACATATTTTATAATCTTATAAATGTAATATTAGTCTTGTAAATAAACAGTCTAATAAATAAATAGTGTTTAATATTTTTTGTCAATTCTCTGGGAAATAACAAATCTATAAATCCGGTCTCATATGTTTGGGTTTTATTAAAATTTTAAAAATAACTTTTTAAAACAAAATTGGCAAAGGAGTATACAGTAATAATGATTTCATGAAATGGTCTCTTTCTTGCTTTTTTTTTTTTTTTTCTTTTTTTTTAAATTGTGGTTTGTTAAATTTTGCCAGAATTTGTTTGGTATCTGCTTTAGGATCAATCATTTTATTTTATATTTAAATATTTTTGAATCAGGTTGTTTCGAAGTAAATAATCATAGATTGTTTTGTTTGTTTTGTGGTGTTGAGTGGGTGAAATTAAACCGACCACACCCTTTTGTATGTTTGTCCCTAACCCACTTTTACTACAATGGATGATGCCAGTTTTCTTTGTAACACAAACAGTCCCATTTTTCTGCAAACCTTTTCTTTTTCAGGTTACTTTCCATTTTGACAATGTCTCTTCTGCATCCCAAGAAGATTTATTTTCAATTGCTTTCTCCAAGTCAACAATTTGAGGATAGAAATTATACCCCTCCTTCTCAACATCCTCAGTCTTTTTAACGGTTTTAGGTTTTATGATCTTGTCAGATATTTTTTCTACAAGAAAATTACACCTTTCTATTCTTAATGGTCCAATTTGAGGAAAATAGATTTTTTTTTTTTTTTTTTTTTAAAAGATTTTTCATGAAATGATTCAGTTTGCATTTTGTTGACCATTTTGCAGTGTTTCTGAAGTTAGAGTTGTTGAAATTGATTTTAGAAAAATTGTATTTTTTCTCTCCTTATATTCCAACATTTATGAAACCAACATGTCTGTTCCAAGTCTGTTCATGATTCGTCTAATAGCTCTGTGTCTGTGAAGAGTCAGTTTGGAAATTCCAGTGATACTTGGAATAATAGTGGAATCTTTGATATCTCCTGGATTGTTTGCATTTGAGTGATTCCATTCCTGACAGTCTTTGATATGCAGAACGTCAAGTTAGAAAAATTTGGAAACAAGAATCTATATAGAGACCAATGTTAAATGAATCTCAAATAAATTGACAAGATTATGTGGTCAAATATATGAACTGTTTGATGGTATGATGATGATGATGACACACTGCTGCTTGCCCCTTTTGTGTCTCCTAGTGCTGAGGACTTGGTTAATGGCTGTTTAACTTGAAATGATTGTCAGGAGAAGAAAATGTTAACTATATTCCAAGTTGGCTGAAGCAGCAGCCTGATTCAGGAAGAAAAGTTCTTGTTTTTGTTATAAAGCCATGTGTTCAATCCTAAATTCTCTAAGAGTTGTTCCAATTTCACATTGTATAAACCAAGATTCACATATAAAAGTGATGCTCCTTACTATGCACTTTCTCTCATAGCAGATTTCAGATCTGGACAAAATGTATCCTGCTACATAGCAATTAGTCTAGATGCTTTGTTTCTTGCTTGATTTTAGATTTTAAGACTGTTTTTATTTTAATCTTTTTACTTGTTTTTTATAAGTTTGAAAGGAAATTAGCTCAATTCATTTCTTGCTTTTAGTTTTGAAAAACGTTTTGCAGATTCATTTTCAGAACTCTGCATTATTTTGCAAGCTTTTTTTTTTTTTTTTTAATTTTTTTTCCAATCTCTTTTTTTGGTAAGTTTTTTTTTTTTTTCTGCTTTTTATTTTCAGTATTCTGTTTTTTTCTTTAAATTAAAAAAATAATTTATATTTGTTTATTGTCATATTTTCACCAATCATTTTCTATGATTTGAAAAAAAAAAATTCTCAAAATGTCCTTCATTGACATTCAAAATATTTTTCTACTTTTCTAATTTGGTTGTTAGAACATTTTTTGACAGTTTGCTTAATATGAAATTCTGGCACTTCATTGCATCCTGACGCACAGAAAAAAAAGTTTTCTTCTAGCTCATCAATTGCATTCCCATTGCTGTTCAAGTTGTTTTCTAGTATCAATTTTATTTTTGTAACTATTGAAGATAATTCATGTCAACTTAAGTGATTTTATAATATCTATGATTCTGTCACAATAATTATAGAATACAAGAGAATTGTCTTCCCAGTTGTTTCATTTGGGTCCAGCTAAGCTCAGTGGTTGTTTCCAAATGAATGAGATCCCAAAGAATAAAGCAAAACTTCTCAAAATAATTCCCCATTGTATATTTGGACAAATGGGAGGTCATTAAACAATGATGGTACCTTCTGGGCACCATTTTGTAAAACCAACATGATATGGAAGCACTAATAAAAAAAAACAAAAAAAAAAACTTGCTTTTCACTAATCACTTTTTATGACTTTATCTTTTCTTTTGAAAATTAAATGAATTTTCTTCAAACTAAAAATTAGTTTGAATACTTTAAAATCTTTGTTATTAGCGTCAAAGAAGCTTATGACAGCAGCATAACTTCTTAAACTGATTCCCTTTCAATAATAAACAATCTTAAATAGAAGAGGGTGCTGAAAATTTCAAGGCCTAAGCAAGAAGCCTTTAAAAGATTTTGACAAGTGGATTGAAGTGGATTTTTCAGCACCTCTTTGTAGTTTATTTTATAAAACCTTGTTTCATAAAAGAAATGAAACCTGTAATCATCTTGGATAGTTTCCTTGATGCAAGTAGATTCTAAGCTTTTAATGTAAATTTTATTTCATGATAATTTCTTGTTGGTAAGGAAGATCTATCTTAAAAGCATCTAAACTTGTCTTCTTAGGCTAAATAGAATACTTCCAAGACACAAGAATTGTTAGATAAACCAATTTGTTCTTTGATGTTTGAATTCTTGTGATTTTAATGTCATTCAAAATGGTTACCATGAATACCAACAAAAAAGATTATTTCTTTTAGAAAGATGACTGCATAACAAAACAACTCCAGGAATGAAGTGATTTCTTTTACCTTCTTTTATTTTCTTTCCTTTCTTTTTTTTTCTTGTTTTCCTTTTCTACTTTTCTCATCTCCACTCCCCCCCTTAAAGAAGAAATTTTTTGTAAATGTTTCTGTTAAAAACTGTCATTAAGCAAATATGTCCATTGTCTGTTGTGTCCCCTTCTTCAGTTTCATTTTTCTTCCTATAAAAAATCTGTTAAAATTCTCTATAATTATTATTATTGTGTGCGTCTTTGATTTCTACAGGAACAATTGCAGAATGCTGCCCCAGTGCGAGGAGGAATTGGGATGCATCTTCTGCAGAAAATGGGTTGGCGCCAAGGGGAAGGTCTTGGCAAGCATAATGAGGGACCCACAGAACCAATTTTGGTTAATGTCAAAGTTGACAGAAAAGGTAAAAAAACGCTTCCTCTTATTTTATTCTTCTTTCCTCAAATAATTTAAACTCTTGGAATTTGGTGATGGTCTAAGGGAAGTAAGTCGTAATCGTTATTCTAAAAATCTCAAATCAATTTATCAGATAGAAAAAAAGTAACTGGTTGGACTAAAAATGTTAATATTATTTCAATAGACACAAAACCAATTTCAGTTTCTGATGAATTTAGACTTTTTTAGAATTTTTGCTTCTGATTGATTTTTTTTTATTTTCTCACTGAAAAAACAATGAACCCAAATGGATTGAAAAGGAATAATCAGTCTAGAGCTTGCATCTTAGCATGTCATTATTTTAAAAGAACTTGGCATATCTTGCCACAATATGCTAACCCTAACCAACAAGCTGTTTGATTTATAAAAATACATGAAAAACTTTTTTGTATTTCAAAACATGGCTTGATTTCCACAGATAAATAAATATAACTCTTAAATTTCATAATTATCATTATCAATGTGCCAAGCAAAGAGAATTGTTTTGCTGTTTGTGAATTTTCAGCTCACAATCTGAATATTTATTTTTCAGGTCTGACATCACATGGTGAAGATCCAAAGAAATCATTAGCTGTTGAAGTAGCAGGTAGGATTTTTACCTTCCCAATAGATTTATTATTTCCAAGCTGTATAAAAAAAAAAAGGATCATTTTATCACTTTAAGCCAAATTGTGCTTAGGTTTTCATAGACAAGAACTGCCAAGTGAAAATTGAACTAATCACACTTGAAATTATTATTTTCTTTTATTTAATGAGCATTAAAATATGCTTAGAAATAATAATTGCATTGTTCCTTCCAATGGATAAAGAAAAAAGCAAAAGTTTTTCAGCCACTGTTTTTTTGTATACTTGATTTGCCATGTTCACTTTTGGCCTTTTTTTTATAATTTTCTTTTAAATATTTTAAACATTTTTTTTTAATTTTCTTTTTTTAAAATTTTCTTTTTAATTTTTTTTAATTTTTTTTTAATTTTCTTTTACTTTTTTTTAATTTTCTTTTTTTTTTTTTTTTTTTTTTTTTCTTTTTTTTTTTTTTTTTTTTTTTTTCTTTTTAATTTTTTTTAATTTTTTTTTAATTTTCTTTTTACTTTTTTTTTAATTTTCTTTTTACTTTTTTTTTAATTTTTCTTTTTACTTTTTTTTTAATTTTTCTTTTTACTTTTTTTTAATTTTACTTTTTTTTTTTTTTTTTAATTTTTACTTTTTTTACTTTTTTTTTTAATTTTTACTTTTTTTTTTATTTTTTTTTTTAATTTTTACTTTTTTTACTTTTTTTTTTAATTTTTACTTTTTTTACTTTTTTTTTTAATTTTTACTTTTTTTTTTTTTACTTTTTTTTTAATTTTTTACTTTTTTTTACTTTTTTTTTAATTTTTTCCTTTTTTTTTCCTTTTTTACTTTTTTTTCCTTTTTTTACTTTTTTTTTACTTTTTTTTACTTTTTTACTTTTTTTTTTTTTTTTATTTTTTTTTTACTTTACTTTTTTTTTACTTTTTTTTACTTTTTTTTTACTTTTTTACTTTTTTTTTTTTTTTTTTTTTTACTTTTTTACTTTTTTTTTTTTTTTTTTTTTTAATTTTTACTTTTTTTTTTTTTTTTTTAATTTTTTACTTTTTTTTTTTTTTTTTTTTAATTTTTACTTTTTTTTTTTTTTTTAATTTTTACTTTTTTTACTTTTTTTTTTTTAATTTTTACTTTTTTTACTTTTTTTTAATTTTTACTTTTTTTTTTTTTTTTATTTTTTTTATTTTTTTTTTATTTTTTTATTTTTTTTTTATTTTTTTATTTTTTTATTTTTTTTTTATTTTTTTTACTTTTTTTTACTTTTTTTACTTTTTTTTTTAATTTTTACTTTTTTTTTTTAATTTTTTTTTTTTAATTTTTACTTTTTTTTTTTTATTTTACTTTTTTTTTTAATTTTTACTTTTTTTTTTAATTTTTACTTTTTTTTTTAATTTTTACTTTTTTTTTTAATTTTTAATTTTTTTTTAATTTTACTTTTTTTTTTTAATTTTACTTTTTTTTTAATTTTTACTTTTTTTACTTTTTTTTTTTTAAATGCAAGACTTTATCAAGAAAGAAATGTTTTTTAAAGTGACATAATCAACCGGATCTACTTTTTTGCTTATGAATTCCTTGAAATGGGTTGAATTTATTATTTTTTTTTTATTTTCAGGGAAACACCCTGTGTCTGCTTTGGTGGAGCTGTGCAGCAAATGTAAATGGGGGACACCTTTGTTCCAACAAGTAGAGGAAAAAGGACCAGATCATAAGAAAAGTTTCATGTTCAAGGTGAGTCAATTGTATATGTCTTTTGCTTTCAGGTCGATGTTCTACTAGTAGGTAAATCTAGTTTGGGATCACTAAGCAGTAACGATGGTGGGAGAAGGAAAGGAATCTTGGCACAGATGACAGACACGTTATTTCAATGGCTATACACACAATTTTTTTTAACTTCACTCATATTAGGACATTAATATGACACAAATTATAACATTTTTTCTTTTTTTTTTTTTTTTTTATGAAATGCAGTAAAAAGAAAATTTTGATTTTTGCTTTTGATTGTGATCTACATGAAAGGCAAATATTTTAAAAATTTCTAAAAAAAAATCTTTTTCAGGTAACTGTCAACAACATCACCTACCAGCCAACGATGCCCAGTAACAGCAAGAAGAATGGTCGAGCACGTGCTGCCATCCTTTGCCTCCAAGACCTTGGTTTGCTCCCCAAAAACTTTGTCATTTGAATGCAGACTCCCCTTTGACCCATTTTCATAATTTTTAAATTTATTCTCCACCCCCATGCTACCCTTTTACCTGCATTCATCAAAAATTCAAAAAGTTTTGTTTTTCTCAAAAAAAGAAACTTTCAACTAAACATGTCATAAAGTAAAAAAAAAAAGTCATTTTGTCTGAAATTTTCTTCTGTTTATCAAGATTGATTTTAGGGTTTTAATAAATTTGGGTTTGTTTTTGAGGGATGCATTTCTTATATCCTTGACTCGTCTGACTCGGCTAGAGAAATTACAGATTTTGAAAGCATTATGATCTTCAACCTTGTGAAATTTGTGAGATGAGTTACTTCCCTTGGACAATTTTTGAGCCATGGTAAGCAGACCATTAACAAAAGCCGGCATCATTAGGATTACTTTTCAAGATTAAAACTTGTGCAAATTATATGGAATAGAACTCTTTTTATAATATATTATAATTTTTATAATCAATACTTGCAAACTCTTGATATAAGCGATATCCCCATGGTCTTATATTAACATTTAAGACTCCAGTGACAAAATTACAAGTTTTTTTTTCTTATGAAAAATGGATTAGCATAACAATATTAGTTTATTGCATATATGTTGTTTCAGTGTTTCGCTATGTTTTTTTTTTTTTTTGCATACAATGTCTACCCACTAAAGGCCAACACATTCTCTTTCACACGACACTGAAATGCTCAATTTACAATAAACCAGGATCTATTCCTGTTATTTAAACCTTTTTTTATCATCAAATCTTAACTCAGGTAAACCATTAGAATGTCATTCTTATTGATACAGTTTTCTTTCAAGTGAAATAAATCCTGGGTTGGAGAAAGGTGAATTAGTGTTTTGAAAAGACCTCCAAGTGTGTATACAGTTGCGGTCTAACATGAGTAAGCTTTCTCTTGAGTGGAGGGAAAAGGCAGGCAGGCAAGTTTTGAATTTGTTTCAGTTTGGAAGTTTCACACACATCATATATGCATTTATAGATTAACTAGAAAGTGTGGTTTTTCTCAAGTTTGCTTGTGGTCTGAAGAAGTTAAGACTTTATTTATTTATTAGTCCAAATGCATGATATACAATTGTCAATTTAAAAGAAAATTGTTTAAAAAAGTTAAATTTTTTTTTTCTGTATGGGATAGACACTTTATATTGCATCAAGAAAATTATATGAATAATATAAACTTCTCTTCTTTACTTCTAAATATAGCTTCTGTTTCACTAGACCGAAATAGAATTAGAACATTAACTGCCTGAAGAGATATTAATTGGTCAACATGGCTGAAGAAAAGAAAAAACTCATTGCAAAATGCAGTCAGTTGGAAGAGAGCAAAAGAACCTCTTTAGTTTTCCATTAAAGGCTGAGGATTCGTTCCGTTGGACTCGTGTCTGTGAGAGGAAGGGGAGATAATTACGTAAAGAGTAATGACGCGAAATTCCCTCGTTTAATGGAGAGTTATTATCAAGATAAAAAGGCTAGCATAAAATTACATCACTACCGAAAGAATTTTATGGAAGTAAAGGCACTTATTTTGCAAACTGTTTTTCTTTTGTTTTTTTTTGTTTTTTTTTATGTACAAATCCTGGTGTATAAAGGAGTCCAAAGATGACATTTGTATAATATCCCAAACAGAAAATTCTGGAAGAAAATGATTAAGAAATTTAAAAAGGAACTGTTTTAATGATTTATTGAAATGTAGACACGTATACAGTTAACATTCAATTTTAATGTTCTTTGACTTCCAGAGCAACCCACATTGTCCAGATTTTACTTCTAGGTTTGAATCTATCACACGGCTATTAAAAAAAAAAAAACTTTTTTTTTTTTTTTTTTTTTTTTTTTACATTTTGAAGGAAATATTTAATCATGCAAATGGAAGTGTTGTAAAGTGGAATTAGAGACCAAAGTCCATTTTTGTTCCTGTAGAACTGGCACAAATCTAAATTACTACATCCATCCTGCTCTCTATAGATTTATTTACAGTTGATTGGTGTGTGTGTGCAGTAAAACAGGTTTTGTTTTATAGATGATAAAAAATGTTAGAAGTATGGTAAATTCAAATTGATTTTATTTATTTTTAATTCAATTTTTGTTGAAATGAAAATTTCAGTGAATTAAAAAAAAAAAAAAAAAAAGGACACCCAAAACTACAATGTTAATCGTTTTAGATTTTCTGTATATAGTTTCATTGCTGCTCTCCTAATTCCACAAATGCCAACAAGGGAGATTAATTTTTTATTTTTCATTAAGGAGCTTTATAAAGGATGAAAAGAAAAAAAAAAAAAACGGTTTTGTTTACATTTTGTAAGGTGGGTTGGGGATGAATAACAATGCATCACTAATTTTGTCTATATTTCTGAGATGAGATATTGTAATTATTTACACTATTTACATTGTTTGGACTGTTGTCATCACTTTTGTTGTACACTCCAGCCTTCTTCAGGTGATTGAAATTTCAAACATAGCCCAATGGATAAAAGCGTTGGTTGAATCCAGTGACTAGACCCAAAGAGTTGTGAGTTCAATACCTGGCTACAGCTGAGGTAAACCAAAAACTTGATGAATTGAGTTAAAAGGGAGATAGCTGATACTGAGACAACTGGAAGAGGCATGGCATATAGAAGTAGAACAATCTACCCTGGTGAACAAAAGTAAAGGGTTCAGATCAAAATTCCAATCACCTGAAGAAGGCCAGGGTGTATAACGACTGAAACGTGAATATGGCAACAAAGATGAGGACAACAGTCCAAGCATTGTAAATAATCACTAATTTTGTTGTAGCAAAGTCAACTTGAAAACCATGAATAATTTGCATGAAGCAACAGAATCATCAGTTTTAGCCTCAGTTTGAAGTCAGTGATATTCAAACTTAGTTTGAGCTTCACTTATTCAAAATGAATGTTCATGGAAGACTTTTATGAAACTTTCTAAAATAGAAGAGATATATTGGATATGTCTGGAATAAGGCTTGGATAACATTACCTGCAATATAATGATCAAATGCATGCAACCTTCATAGCCATTGAAAATTATTATTTGCTCTGGGTGAGAATGTAGTTTTTTTTATTTTGAGACCAAAAAGTGTATAGGAGTTGTTTGAATTGTTTTTGATGAACAAAGCTAATAATAGGCTAAAAGAATGTTTTCAAACTGTAAATTTAACTCTAGAAACTTGTTTAGCATTATTATATCAGAGATTGTAATCATAGAACTGCACTTGTGAATGCAAAAATCAGTGACATAAAGTCAACCATCTTAACCCATTACCTGCCATGATTCCCATTTAGGGATCTGGTAAAATTAAACTCACTACATGTTATTCTTTGTATTTACATTGAATTGCTTACATACATTGCATTTGCAGAGGTATATTTTACAACACTTAGTCTTTAAAGTTTTTATTATTTGCCGTAACTAATCATAGAAGACACTTTCTGTCACAAGTTTACATTTCATGGGTAGAAAAGTAATGAGTATTTTGAAAAGTATTTTTTTTATTATTTCTAATCAATATTATTTTTTGATGTTTTATACACATATATAATGTTCTAGTTTCTATAAAGTTTCAAAGTACTAGCTATTCGAAGAAAATTTTAATATTGTATGTTGTTCTTTACTCCTAAGAGTGGGCCAAAAATATGCATTAAAAAAATTTGGCAGTTAATGGGTTAATCATAAAGGGATTCTTAATTTTCTTTCTCTTTCCGTGTTAAGCATAAAGGTTATTTAATGCTCCAATTTATTTAGCAGTAACATTTGTCATGGAGAAAGTGCAGATAATGTAATTTGGTTCCATTCAATGTTTGCCCCCCCCTCTCGACTTTTGGCAGACTTGACAAAACATGTCAATGGAAAAAAAAGTTTAAATTCTTTGAATCAACACATCTTTCCCAGCAGCACAACTTAGTATTTTTGTTTTAATCAAATGTTACAGTAGCTGTTTGACTAGTAGCATTGTACCATTGCACAAATGTGGAACATTCAAGTTCCTCAGAAGAATAATTAATGCTACTTCAACATGAGACTCGGGTAGCACACTAGGAGGCTTCCAGTCTGTTAAGAAACTTCTTTGCTTTGGTCTCTGACAGTGTCAACTGATTTGTCTACTTTTACATCCAAATATTAAAGAATTTCTTTCCTGATTCCATAAAACCGTATGATTGTTTGGATCAAGTATTGCTCTTTTACTAAAACCATTAAAGACTATATTGATTGTTGAAAGATTTTTCAGATTAGCTCTATAGAATCATTAAGTGATAATCTCACTCATAGGTAATTCACCAACATAATCACATATAATCATTCCATCACCAATTTCTGAAAGCTTTTTTTTTTTTTTTTTTTTTTGGCAAAAACATCCGAGTGTTGATCTTTGTTTTCAGTCTTATTTTTACACGTTTCTACAAATGCGATGATTTCAAACAGATTTTTATTCGATCAGCTCTTGTCTCTTTTGGGATCTGATTGAAGTTTCCTTCTGCTAAAACATCTATTGCTCTACAAGAGAGCATTCATTCCTCTCATTCAAGTTCTGTGACATAATGTTTTAAAAGCAACTTTGGGCACACACCACTTCTGCTTTATTTTAGATAAAAAAATTTATGTGCTTTTAAAAGTTCATAAGACTTTCATAAATCTCTAAAAAAAAAAAAAAAAATATTGAAGAAATCTGTTTTTATTAAAAATTGAAGATTTTATGAGAACATTTTAATGAAAGCAAAATGTGGAAATTTCACATCTGATTATTGTGTGTAAAATGTTCACATCAAAGCTGTTAATCAGGAAAGGTCATCAGAGGTTGTCATATATTCATGAACCATACTTAAAAAAAAAAAAAAAAAAAAAAAAGATTTAGGCTTGGTAGATTTTCAAAATATATAAATAAAAATATTTTAGCATTGCTTTCTTACCTTTACATAGACCAAAGCTGTGATCTAACAGTTTTAGGACAGAAAATGTTTTTATTTTGAATAATTAAACCTTTCTAAAAGTCATCAGTCAATTATTTATAAAAATCCTGAAAGTCAAGATTGGAAATTACCAAAAATTTCACTAAAATTTTTTATTGAAATTTGGTTTATAAAAGTTGAATATGCAAAATAGTTATCTTTTTTAATAAAAAATGGTTGAGGAGGTCAAGATAAATTATGTTTGGCTGTTAGACAAGTGATAAGTAGAATAACAAATGCCAACTCATAGACAGAATTGGTGTATTTTTTTTTTATTTTTTTTTTTATAGAGTACTGTGCAATATGTGCACACAACTATTGAAATATATCTCTATCTATAAAAGGTAGTGTGTGTGACGAATGCAGGGCTGCAATTTTTGATGGATTTGCACCAAAATTTACATGCACATGCTCCAAGTTAGCGGGAAGGCCAAGATCCACTTTGCATTTCCCAACTCCCATTGATAGTGGAAATAATCGATTATGTTCATGCTTCTACGGCACTTTTCATGTAGTTTGTGGCCATTTTCTACTGGCCAGAGTGAGAGCCTATAGCTGGCTGCCACGAATAGGCAGGAAGATTCTATTGGCCAGCGTGAGAGCCAACAGCTGACTGACATGAATGTTAACTAGCATGCTAGCATGCAAAAAAATTCGATAGATGCATTCGTCACAAGTGGGAAAAATTTAAATCTGCATAGCACTTTACTCCAATTGGCTCATTCGCTTGCTTAAACTCAACGTTGATTCTGATTCTGCAGAACTGGGTTGGATGTGAAAAAGTATTTGCTGTTAACATTCTTTTTTCATTCAGTTTTTCCAGTTACAAGTCCTTTTTTAAAGCTGATCATTTTGTGTTCACTTTTAGTTCTTTTTTCGTAACAGATTTAATATTTAGTATAGAGCTTAGAAAAAATTTGCAGTATGAGATAGGCAAGAAGTAAGGCATGTAGCAACATCAGCATGGCAAAGGGTACTCCTTTAAAGGCAAGGAAGGGCAAAAATATTTTAAGTCAAGTGGTAGTGATTGCTGTATGAGTTGTACAATTTTTGAATCAAGCACGGGCAATGCCGGGCCATGCTGCTAGTTGATATATATGTAGATATAAAAAAAAATAGTTCTTACTGGTTTTCTTTTTTCAAATATTGAGGATACACACTTAGTGGATTATTTATTTCTTTTTAAATATTAAATAGAAATTTCATGCTTCACTATTAATTTATTTCCTGAGAATATTTTTGTTCCAAAAGTGTTTGAGATTGACACGGAAAAATGATATTTTGTTATTTTATTTCCCATTTTTTTAATCTTTATTTCTTCTGCCTTTACAAACTTCTTTGCTTTCATTGTATCTACAATTATTGAATTGTAGATATGAGATTAAGCTTTTCAACTTTTTAAAATTTTTTTGCATGTCTTGATTTTGACATTTTATTTAATTAAAATAAAAATAATCCACATATTAGTGCAGTATCAGAAAGTGATACATGAACTATCATCCAGAACTTTCTGCATCATCTCTCTACGGAAGCAGAATGATTGGAATAATGTTCTCTTCACAGCCAGGAAATGGAAGCAAGCGTTGTAACTAATGATGCTAAGAGGGTTGGGTCAAATCACTCCAGGTTTATGTCTCTCCTGCAAACTGCCATTACTTGCATGAAGGCACAACCTTTGCTGAACCCTTATAGAACACCATTTGTGACACCATAAGAAGTACATGCCTGAGATTATAGTGTAAATGAATGTCTGGCTAGAGGCACACAATTTTGTCCTATTTGGTCTGTATAGACAAATGGGGTGGGGGATACATTTGCTATGATTTATGCCATGAATATAGTATACCATAACGCTGCCACTCATATAACATATTGATCTTGGTAAGTGCTCCTGCTTTTTAGTCATTTAAAATTTGCTTGATAATTGTAAAAACATTTGACTGCTGTTGCTGATGTTAAAACATTATCAACATGTTTTTTTTTTTTCAAAATGGCCATCCAGCTTCTTGAATGCCTAAAATGCAAACTCCGACTTAAATAGCTCCAGTTGAGCAAGACAAGCGAATATGCCTCTCCTTAGCACTGCGCTGAACCTTATCGAAACATACCCCCCCCTCCTCTCTGGACCTCTATAGAAGATGCGCTAGAATGACTGAAGACTGAAAATACAAAATTTATTATTCCCTGTTATGCGTATACTTGTAGCCAGTTGAAAATTTTATTTGCTGCAATTTTATTTTTCATTTCAAATTCTGAGTTGCTAATCATTAGGCCAAATGTGCAACCATTTATCTGCTCTATTTTTTCTCCCTCCCACATTCCCTCCTGCTTTCATTCAATCTTTATTTTTCTTTCCTCCAGCCAACTCTCTCTCTATTATTCTCCTCTCTGTCTTTCTTCCTCTCTTTTGGCTGTGACAGTCCAGCAATGAAAAAAAAAAAAAAAGTTCCCAATGACACCACATGCCTTGAAATAGCAACAAGTACTGTCAGCCATAGAGACTCCCTTCATCTCACTCCCCAAAAAAAGAACGTCCGAAGGAACACATCAAACACATGAAAAATGATTTCCCTTGCAAATCAAGATTACCACCAATTCGCTTGTCTTCTCAGCTTGCACTCAAATTATAACATTAGTTTCTGAACAAGGCTGCAAATAACTAGACTATTTTTCTTGGGTGGCCTTTTTTTCACCCCCCCCCCTCAGATTTCCTGATTGCTAGCATTTTTCCTTTATCAAAATTAAATAAAATACCAAGCAAATTAGTGTCATTAATTTTCCCCTCTGAATGGGGATGGTTATAATTAGGCACAGGAAATTGCATAATCAAAACTAATAAAATCCACTGAAAGACCCCAAAGAGGAATTCACTTTGAGGCTAGATAGAGATTATGGAAGACCAACAATGCAATAACCATTATGAAAGAGCAACAGTCTTCTAGCAACAAAGGCATCAAGGTTATTGACTCGTATTCTTCCTTTAGTGATTGTTCAGTGGTTAAAGTAGTTGATTAGATGCTGCAGAACTGAAGGTTCAAATGCTAATTGCTTGACTAAAAAAACGAATATTTGACTGAAGACAAAGAGAATCTAAATTAATTCACTATCAGTTAATAACTTGTAAAGATTTAATAGATTTACCATTTTTTAATACAAAACTGTTCTAATAGCTGAGGCCATGTAAATATATATGGAGTCTTAGTGTGGACAGCCAATTCTAAATGTGTTCTTTCTATTGAAATTAAATCAATTTAAAGCTTTCAATTATTTTAAATATCTAAAGTCTAGATGACAGTTATTTTTTGAAATGGATGTGGGTTGGAAGTAATTCATCCATCAGGAGATCATTTTCGCTAAAGATTGAACTATCATCATTCTTTTAAAAGGCAGAAAAACATTTTAAAAATAAATGTAAAATATCTCTGATAAGATTAAAATAAAAATAAACTAAAGAGAAGCATGCTGAGATTTTGGTGTAGATGGAATTTTTCTGAACAGAATTTTTTGCTTTAACAACTTTTTTTTTTTGTTTTTATTGCAATTATTTGGGAGAAGAAAAAAAAATTAAATGTGACAATTGCAACTTTTGAAAGCCAAAATGAATCAGCAAAAGTTTTCCATGACAGCATTCTCAGATATCTTTCTTTTATTTTAATTTTTTTTAGGAAAGTAATAAAAATTATTGTTAAAAACAAAAAAAAAAAACGATGTGCTTAGAACATGGACCATTTCATGCACAAAATGACGACAATAATCAAATTGTCTATCACAAACGAATGAAATTATTATCAATGCAACATGTCTATCAGTCTCTGAACAGTGTTGCTCTAGTAAATTTAAAAAAAAAATGGGTTGTATCAAATAAAAATGTTGAAAATTAGGCAATAATTAGAAGTTTTATTCTGAAGTCAAATTTTGGCTCCATTTTTAAAGTGACAAAGCTAGGTTTTGACAACTTAAGAAATAGAACAAGATACTATAAATCTAAAAGTATTGACCAAAACATAAAAAAAACCCCCCTTAAATGTTGATGTTTTTAAAAACAACATCTCTTTGTGTCATCTTTCTTATTTTCACATCAATAATGACGTTAGACCATAACACTATAAGTCAGATTGAGGGAGAGAGAGACTGACCGACCTCTGAAGAGCGCCGGGTGCAGATACTAATGACAAAGGATAACTATTATAAACATGGTAAAAAGAAAAAAATGATTCACTTGTCCGAAAAACCTATGGGATAAAGCTTTTTTTTTTTTTTTTTAAATAATTCTATTTTGTGTATGAAAAATTTGCTAAATGTTATGTAAAAGTTGTTTAATCTATAACAGAATAATAGTTAATGTTTTGACTTCCGTTTTGGAAAATCTCTCTGGGCTTACTATTATAAATAGCCCCAAGCTATTATCATCTGTTTCAGACATAGCAAAGCTCTTTGCTTCAGACTCTATACTCAATGAACAAAGTCATCCCCTAGCTGACGTACCCACTCTCACAGGGCACAAAACAACTGACATAGAGAATTGCGACATTGTCAAGTTTTTGTCATGGGTCATTGTACATGGCTAGTTTTCTGAGGCTCTCCATCGGACGCACTTTCTTTTTGCTTTTTACTGACAGGAACATTCTAAGATCATTAGTAAACATATATATGTTGATACAAAAGTATCCAAAATTCAAGATGTCCAGAGACATAGAACTGATCTCTGCTGACCTAACCTGTTTTAATATCCATAGTTCTAGTTAATGATATTCCAAGGAAAACACTGGAACAAAAGATTAGTGAATAAACTCTTTAATCCCATCTCTATATATGTATCGTTGTAGCCTCTGTCTGTCTGTTTATTATCAAACTCCTCAGAGGGTTTTGGAGATAGACCTCCCACCCCATAACCATATACATTCCGAAATTAGATTACCCAGGTTACTTGAATAAGTATATTTCATTTTGTTCAAAGTGGGTGGTCTCCGGAGGCACCCCACTCCCTGAAATATTTTTTTCCTTTGATTTGAATTAAATTTGAATTTGAACAAGGGAATGACTCCTATACAAATTATAGACGGAGAAAGCCAGAAGGTGGAGGTCACATAGGCAAGATCATTGAGTAATACATCATTGATTAATGCATCAGTTTTCTCTACAAATTATAACTGATTTAAAATCAATCATCATTTTCTTGCAAAACATGTATGAAAGGCGCAGGTAATTCGGCTAGTGAATTAATAATACAATAATAGCCAATACCATAGTTGGTGCGACATACTTTGCTTCTTTTTTCTATGTGCTGACGTTTCTCTCACAGTAAATGGAAGAAGTGGGCACCCGACGTAGTGTAATGGTTAGCAAGCTTGTCTTGCAAGAATCATTACAACTGAGTAGTGAGTTCGATCCATATTGGGTGCCCCATACTTTCGGGCTTGTGCCACATCTAAGTTGCGCTTCAAAAGATTTTGTTGCATTTATCGGACCAATTCCACACAGCACATTTTCTAATAATTTATTTAAAGGCGCTCTCAATTTACGCATGCTTAGCACAAACATTGTAATAACTTGTGAACCCCACAAATGATTATAAAGTAGCAACGTTTGTCGGGGCAGGTATATTTTTAATAGTACTCGTCCTTAATGGGTGTGGTCTCCGCCCATTTGAATCATTTTATATCCCAAGTATTTTATATTGCTCCAGAAAAATTGACATTATGAACCCGTCATCTTTTCTCTGGAATATTTCTATGTTTTCCGAATGTTGCCGTCTAGTTTTGCTTTTTATGGGTATGTCGTCCAAATATGCAACGGCAAAATCTAAGCTAGCGAGCATCGTCTCCATTACTCGTTGGAAATCTGTAAGTCAATTCTTGAAAAAGAAATCTTCATTTAATTTAGAAAAAAATTCTTCTTCGGATATGTGTAGACACTTATTTAACCCTGTAGAAAAATCAGTAAATACACCACTGGAACTGCCCGCTCAATAAATAGTTTCTAATCTGTCAAGGTCCTTGTCAACTAAAAAAAGGCACACTACGTTTAGGTTTAATAACGGGAGCTACATTTTCCTTCAAGTGAAAAATTGCATTCGCCTTAATACATTACCCAAGAACTTCAGAGAACACTAGGAAATTAGTTTTTTTAACACCTTTTAAAAAATTTCAATCTTTTTTACAGAATGAATTTACGGGTAGACTCCACAAATTGAATAGTTCCATCTAGTCCGCGTCTAGTTCAACGTATTATTTTTTAATACGAATATTTTTTTTAGCATTTCACCCCAAGCAAGGCGGGATGCCACTAGCATTACTAGGGGTTACAGAGAATGGGAACAAGAGTAAAAAGGCGTGATAGATGAAGAGAAGTACAGGGATAAAGGCGTCTGGACATGTCGATTGATATTACATTCGAATAGTTGGAGATTATAGCTATCAGGGAAACACGTAATAGGAAGGGAATTTCACAGAATGCCTTAATTTTTTTAAATTTCCCGGGGCACGAGATATTACAATGCAATTTCGCCTTTTTTTCGTGAGACGGCGGGTTTTCGATAATGTAGTTTCTCAAATATTTTTCTAAGTTTTTTCATTAATTATAATAATGTCACTGCCTGTGTCTAAATGAAGTTTTGCTTCAACGTTATTCATCTTAACATTCAAAATTTTCTCTTCTGGGCTTCATTCAGTTTTTTTGAATTATCAATACAACTTTTACTCCATTAAAATGTCTTACATTTTTTCTTTGTCTGATTGGCAATAACTTTGTCTATAACCCATTTTTCCAAATTGGAACCATTTTATTTTTGAATGGGCAATCCTACTTAAAATGAAATTCTCCGTAACCGTAACACTGACGACAATTTCCTTAAAATACCTTTTTTAAGATCTGGTCAGCCCTGGTAATCTATTTTTAAAATTTCTTCATGCCTTATGTAATACAACAGAAAACGTAACACCTTCTTGAGGGTTATTTTTATTTGTATATATATATTATAATTAAGTAATTCATCGAGTCTCAAATAAACTTCAACAAAATGCAGAAAGCACTGGACGACCGTTTCGTCCTATATTTGGGACTCATCAGCAGTGCGCATCCACTACAGAGAATTGAAATCTTGACAGTTACGTTATCAGGCAAACGTCATACCAACTATTCCAACGTGCTTCGGTGACGAAAAGGTAGCGAATTAGGCTCGATATAGCGCCGCTCGATCACATATTCCGTGGTGGAACTCATCCGAGTTTCTTTTTTACCCATAGAACTGTGCCGCCACGAGCCACCACTACTATCGTCACCGAGGCCCGTCGGAACAGTTGGTATGACGTTTGCCTTAGAAACGTAATTGTCCGGGTTTCAATTCTCGGTAATGGATGCACATATTGTTATTGAGTCCCAAATATAGGATTTTATTTAAAAAAACGAAACGGCCGTC